CCCCCCCCCCCCCCCCACCCCCTCGCCCCACAATTTGGAACTGTTGGGTTTTGAGGACAGGGACCCGGAGATATAAAATCCTCTCGGAGCAAAGGCGAGAACCAACAACAAACTCAACGCTCATGTAGCGTCACTTCCGGCGGAATTCGAACCCGGGGCCTATTGATAGGTGCTGCCCCACACATCAGTTTTCATCTACGCTTCCCAATTGAAAACAAAAGAAATTTCTCTTTTACCCGCGATTTATTTTATCTTTTATTAAGCCAATATTTTCTTTTCTCCACATGTTTTCCTTGCAAACAAACAAATCGGAATTTGCGAATGTCGAATTTTTTTCTCCTCCCTTGTCATGCACGGTTCGCAATGGTACCTGGGACGGGTCAGTACAGCAACTAGAACATTAAAACAGCTCACTGAATTTTATTTACGATTTTAAGATAGGATATGAGTGAAAGCTGCAGCGATAAAATTTGCTTGAAACTCTTGTTTGCTAACCTTTTATCTGCGGATGTCTTTTAGCGCCACTTAAGAGTGTCCAACTAAAAGGCGTTAGTAAGTGTTCTACATGATGATCACGTCGCAGCAAACTACATTGTACCAAAGAGGGAAAGAGAGGTGCAGTCACCCTCACCCTTTTACTCACCCCACACCACCCCACTCTTTCTCTCCTCCGGTCATTGTCCTTTCGCATTACGTAGCAATCCAGGGACCATTTACAATAACTGTAACCTCAGACGTTACTACTAATGTCTGGCGTTACAAAGAGTTTGACTGAATCGACTGGACATCAGACGTGAACATTTGCAGCAGAAGTTAAAGATTTGCGCATCTAGGCACTGTCATAAAACATCACTTTTTTGTTGACTAGCGTGTTCACGTGCTGAGGAAGAAAGTCTTCTTTTGAATAAAACAAGTTCACCGTCTTTTCTTGGGCTTTCTCTTGTCTTTCCTCTTGTGCGATTCCTTCATTTTACGCCGAAAAATGAAACGTGTTTTGTGTTATTGAATCATGACTCTTGCCACGAAAAATGCAAAAGGAATTATCATGTCACAAACTGTCAAATTATACTTAATAACACAATTCACTGCTTTGTAATAGTTATAACTATAATGAGAATCCCTGAAATAAACAGAGATTATCTTCAAGCTTAATTGGGAGTTAAACAGTGAGTGCAGATTCTAGTCTATTCAATTGAGCAAACTTTACAGCCATCTTATTACTCCTACGTCAAAATTAGCGGAATAAGACAGTTTAAATAACACAGTATGGCCAGTAGCTTACGCATGCGCCCAGCCATATAACTCGGGGAGCAGTTTCGCGCTCATTACGACTCATGAGCATGGGCCCCTGAACACGGCTTTGATCTTACAGGGGTCCGAAGGCTATGCCAAGCTGATGAGCCCTAACGAGGGGCCCAAGAGCTGTCCATGGTTGCCACTGCTCGGTTGATATTGCTGTCCGCAAGCGTAAGGTACTGGCCATACTGCAGACTTTGGTAGAGTGTGCTTCCTTGCAGATTTTTGTCTTCCAATTGTTTGTAAGAGCCAACTTAAGACCACCAACATCCTCTTAACCCTACAAATGAACGACCTCGACTGGTATGAATCGTGGCCTGAAGATTTTCGTGAAGCTGAGTTGGACTTTTGTGTTACAGGATATTCACAAGCCAAAACTTCAAACATACCACTTGCAAGGAGGCAAAGCGCACGACACCAGATATCACAAAAAAGGGAAAATATGGTACAAGAAAAGAAGTAACCACCACAAGCTCGCTTGGGATGTATGGGGAAAAGAAATGTGTATAAAAAAGGCTAAACGACGTTATACTCTACTAAAGAGTTAAAACCACTAAAGCTCTTATTTAGTTGTCTGTTTAGCATGGCTTACTTTGTTGGGGGTCGAATAAAATCGAAAGCACCATTAGAGGTTTAATTCTCTGAGTTTCCAAACCAGCATCTCCGTCTTTCTCTCAAGTCCTGGAGTCCGACCGGGCGCATCGGGTAAAGATGACCGTAAGAAAACCGATAACATTTTCTTCCTCTCCCTTCGTCCACACTATTATAGTCCGCCTCGATCTGTTCCTCCACTTTTTTTCTCCAGAAAGCCTGTTTGAAGACTACGTATGAATGCACCGCCCTCAGGCCTTGAGTTTTTCCCGTGGCGGACGTAAAAAAGGCTAAGCGTTGCACCCAGGAGCTCTCCTGCTGGCACCTTAATGAGCATGCTGGTGTGTCGTGCCCATGCTCCAAATATAGTCATTCCACTCAGTGAACACTTGAAACGTTAAACCTGAAGTTACGGATGTGGTTTTATGGTATAATGGCTAATAAAAAGTTCAAATCAGATCACGCAAGTAAACATTATTTTGAATGTGCCTCTATGCTTATTTTGTTTTCTTTGGTGACAAATCTTGTTTGTTACCGAAGACTGTAGTTCAAGGGCCATCGTAGTTTGATCAAAAATAAAACACAAACAGCGGTGATAGACATTGTGAGTTTTCGCATTAGCATACGAGACGTCAAGTTTATACAAATGCGAAAACTCAAAATTTTTCTTACCGCTGTCAGGGTGTTTTATTTTTCATCAAACTTTAGTTCGAAAGATACACTGTTAACTCCGGGTGTTAACACAAAACAACTGCATTATGTCATTCCAAGCACGACAACAGAGAGAAATTTAACCAGAAAGATACAATTATTCCGTTCACGGTTACTTGTTTTGCGGCACTGATCTGCACAAGAAAAAGCAATCTGCATCTTTATGAGCTGATGTTTTACGGTGTCGTGCTTTTGCCTCTAGATGATTGACACTTTACTGCTAAGGCGCGTCAGAGGCTCTAATACAATACTGCTCTCTGATTGGTTCGAAGGGTCTTTGATTCCGAGAAAAGCTAAAGATAAAAACGTCACAAGACTCAATTGTTGTGTGTAGACTAGACTCTGGGGGACACAAAAGGTCATTTTAGGTTGTTATTTTGAAGAAGACATGGATCTCACAACTCTGTTTCACAATCTTCGCAAAGAAGTGTCTTGTTCGGTGTGTTCGGACTTATTCACGGATCCTAAACATCTGTCCTGTCTACACAGCTTCTGCTTAAAGTGTGTAAAACAGTGGTACGAGACGTGCGGCGGCGGGGACGCCATTAAATGCCCGAAATGCCAAACTCTAAGCAGAGTACCAGCAAGCGGTGATCTTGAAGATCTTCCAACAAGCTTTTATTTGAATGGCTTTATCGATGTTCTTGCCATCAAAGAATGCAAGAACACTCAACTAACATGCGGAAACTGTGACAAGAAGAGCTCGGAAGCGTCGTATTGTTTCCAGTGTTGCATATTTTATTGTGAAGAATGCTTACTTTGTCATAATAAAATGCGAGAGAAAAAGGGACACCGTGTGTTGGCGGTAAGAGAATTCCAAGATAAGGACTTTGAGGATGTATTGAAGCGACCTGTATTTTGTTCAAGACAAGGACACCAGAAAGAGGAGCTTAAATACTACTGCAATGGATGCGAAACGGCTCTTTGTCAAACTTGCGTCATTTTGGATCACGGAGGTCATGTTTTGAAATTGATCGAAGAAGAAGCCGAAACCAAAAGACTCGAGATCAAATGTGTAATAGAAATGCAGAGACAAAATTTAGAAGCAAAAATGAACATAGTGAGTCAACTAGATGAAGACTGTGCTAAAATGATTCAACAAGGCGAAGTATTAAAAAGAGATGTGCAAAGATTTGCTGAAAACGTGATCAAAACAATTAAGGCAAAAGTGCAAAATATAATCAATACAGTGGAGGACCGAACTAAGAAGTCCATTGAAAGTCTGACAGCAAGAAGGAACGAGATTCAGCAACAAATTAAAGTTATCGAATCATCACTGGAAGAAGCTGATAAACGTTTTCAGAGAAGTACCAAAGCTGAAGTTGTTCAGCTTAAAAAAAACACTGCAAACAATTTTTGCGCGGGTGGATCAGGCTGAGGTTATAAATATTGCGGCTTATGACCCTGAAACTCGAGGAACTTTAGTGTTCATTAAAAATCAGAAACTTCTTGATGTTGTCAAGGAAGAAGAAATTGGATCCTTGGAGGACCCGAATAGAACAAAATCAAGCGAATCTATTGCTGAAGGTGAAGGAAGGAAAGAAGGAACTGTTGGGCGTAAAGCTCAATTCAAATTGATCACAAAAAACGCAGAGAGAAAGCAGTGGTATGATGAGAGGGACATTGTCACAGTAGAATTCAAGGGCGAACAAGGACAAGAATGCGAGACGGAAATGAAAGTAGAGGACATTAAAGATGGTGGTTACAATGTTAGTTTTTATCCCAGAGTGCAAGGTACATTCAAATTGTATGTTAAAGTAAACGAGGAACATATTCGTGGCAGTCCCTTTGAAATGAACGTAAAACCATTTCACGTTGAACCTATTTTGTCTTTTGGCAAAGAAGGTTCGGGTGATGGGATGTTTAAGAATCCTCGAGGAGTGGCAGTGAATGATAGGGATGAAATACTAGTTGCTGACTTTGATAACCATCGGATTCAAGTATTAGACAGTGATGGTACTTTTATGAAATCGTTTGGCCGTAAAGGCCAAAATCTTGGAGAATTCAATGGCCCGCACGGAATAGCCATCAACAAGGATCGAAACATTTTCGTTGCAGAGCGGAATAACCATAGAGTACAGATTCTTAGTTGGGAGGGAAGGTACCTGGGTTCATTTGGGGGCGAAGGGAGCCTTGATAGTCAGCTTTTTAAACCTCGCGGTTTATCCTTAGACAGTAATGGTAATGTTATTGTTGCTGATGCAGGTAACAAACTGATTAAGATCTTTACTCCGGATGGTAAGTTTGTAATGAAGATAGGTGGGCAGGGTTTTTTTAGTTGCCCATTTCACTGTATTCAGTCTGGTGAATATTTTATAGTGTCAGACCACAATGAACACTGCGTCAGCGTATTTAACAAGGAAGGACGTTTTCAGTACAAGGTGGATAAACAGGGGGGAGGGGACGGTGAGTTTTCTTTTTCTGGTTATTTGTCACTTACCCAGTCAAATCACCTATTGGTCTGCGACTGGGGAAATCACAGAGTTCAAGTGTTTGAACTTAATGGAAAGTTCATCGGGAAGTTTGGAACAAAAGGTAGCAAGCTAGGAGAATTTAATAATCCCGTATCAGTGGCAAATCTGAGTAATGGCAAAATTGTTGTCTCGGATAAAGAAAATAATCGAATTCAAATATTTGACCATATTACCTAAGAATATAAACAATATACAGATCCCTTGTCAGATACCTGAGCTAAGACAGACCACAATTTGTTATTTCGTTTTTGTTAAACGTAGAAATTAATTTTCTGCAGACTGCCCCTGTCCCTACGGGGGTATTCAACTCCTTACAGAATAGTGACAGTATTATAGCTGGATCTTGGTTGCCTGCGTCGTAGACGCTCTAAACCTTCTGTATATATATACAAATGGTTTTGATAAGTGCGTGGGCCGGCTGCAACGCAGGCTAGATCTTGGACTTATAAATTGAGGCTTAGACAATATAATTTCTTAAACTTCTGCAAAGACATGATTCTGGACAAGACAACTACGCTTAAAATTTGACTTAAACCGGCATAGGCCTGAGTTAAACATCGTTCGAGGAACCTGGGGCCTGTATTTGCTCTGTTTGCATTCAAGATCAAAGTTTCAATAATTTTGAAAATAATACAGTGAAATTATCAGATAACAAAGCAAAATTGACTGGTTCATGGGCTAGGAACTGTGCTACTATTCAACAGGTTTGGATTTACAAATTTATCTTCGGGTTCGGGCCTTTCGAGAAACGGGCCCCAGACTCCATACAGTAACGTATTACGTATTGCCTTATTATTTTTGGCAGGTTCAAGTACCGTATCCATAATTAAATATACCAATTTTTAGATCTTGAATCTACCTCACCTGAGTTGAAATATTTACAAATGATTTACAAAAGTCCTTTCTTATTGTAAAAATATAATGGATTTGCTTTACCTTTTATTTGTGTGTTTAGTTTGTGCTTTGATTTAAGGTCGACCTTATATATAAAACAGACCACACTTGCTAAGCTTTAACATCAAGTGCAAATGTAGAAGAACTTAAAGAAGCTTGAGTATCAGGTATAATTTTTGGGAGGTCATAAACTTTGATCGATATTTTAGGATCATCAAGGCAGGCAATTTAAAGGAGCTGGAGGGGTGGATAACGCCATAACGTCACTAGTACAAAAATAGTAGGGAATTACCTTAGACTGTCATGATCGATACTTTAAATAGCGTCATCAAAACACTAAGTGACGTATAGGATTTTATTAAGAACCGGACATCATCCCGCCATTAATATTGACAAGTTATTAGTGCGCACACTGAGTCAGAATTGGGAAATATTTTGAAGGAATAATAACTCGTTTTTAATTGAAGTATTTTTGAGAGATTGCGTAGTTTCTCTGCAAATATAATATAGTTCTTAATTTACTTCCGTAAATAGTCGCTTCGTCTAAATTTAGAATTTAAAACGTTTTGCTGGCTGCAAATTCGAAAATGTCTGCTTTTGTCGTAGGTGAAAAACCAGGCAATTAGACAGCCCTACTACGTGCCCAGAGGGCCGCTAGCTGAGCTTTCAATTCTATTCATACAGCGAAACTACGTGCTTTACTTGGCAAACTTTGTTAGTTTATCAGTGTCCTAGTACTTTTTACTCCTAAACAGAATCCACAACAATAGTTTTCGCTTAACTTAAAACAAGTTTGTTTGTATATCTATTGAACTCTTTTGTGTTGAATACCTGTAGTAATGATATATAAGTAAGTCACTTTGTAGAATTTTTCGATTACACCGATTACTTCGATTACATGTACAAGAATAAACGCTGTTGAAACCAAGTCAAGTTTGCTTTATTCTCTGCTGCGTTCCAGGTGGTGGTTTGGTCCCGGTCCTAAGAGTTGTGACGGCTCTTACCCGCGAGCGAGTTGCCATTTGAGTTTAGTTTCCCCAGTTTAGAGGACGGCTTCCAGAGTTCAATCCCCGACTTCCCTTTTAGCCCCTAAAGTCGTTCGAAAGTGGAAAAACTTTCCGTCACAATATGTCTGCGTAAGGTACTGCTCCTACTGCAGAGTTTGGTAGTGTAAGCTTCCTTGCAGTTTTTTTCCTTCCTATTGTTTTTAAGAGCCAAATACCACCAACATCCACTTAACTCCACACAAATGAACATCCTCCACTTGTATGAGTCTTCAAACACACGACTGGTGGTGGACCAAATTGCACGGCATCAGTTATCACAAAAAGTGAAAATATGGCACTAAAAAGAAGTAACCACCACCAGCTCGCTTGGATTTGTGCCGGGAAAACAAATGTGTATAAAAAATCAGTGCTACTGACGACGTTATACTGTATCAAGAGTTAAAACCACTAAAACTCTTATTTAGTTCTCTGTTTAGCATGGCATCCTCAGTTGAGGGTCAAATGAAGCCGTAGCCACCGTTAGAAGTTTAATTCTACAGTTTTCCAACCAGCATCTCCGTCTTTTTCTCAAGGCCGGGATTCCGACCCGGAGCATCGGGTAAAATGACTGTATCGATTGCATTTTCTTCCTCTCCCTTCTTCCACTCTATAAAAGTTCGCCTTGATCCGCTCCTCAGCTTTTTTCCCTAAACAGCCTGTTTGCAGAATACGTATAAATGCACCGCCCTCAGCCCTTGAGTTTGGAAGAAATAGAGACACAGCGCGCGAGCGAAGCGAATCTCGCGAGAACGCGCCCCGCGTTCTCGCGAGGCTCTCCCAAATACGAGAGCTTGCTCGCAGGCTAGGTTAATTCAGATCGTGCAAGAAAGCGTCATTTTGAAAGTACCTTTTTTATCCTTGGTGACAAATCTCGTTTGTTTATGACCGAAGACTGTAATTCGAACAATACACTGTTAACCCCGGGTGTTAGGACAACACAACTGCATTATATTACAAGCACGAAAACAGAGAGAAACGTAACCAGAAAGATATAATTATTCAGTTCACGGTTGCTTGTTCACTGCACTCTGCACCCTAAAAAGTAGTTTGCATCTTTCTGAGCTGTGGTTTTCACGGTGTCGTGCTTCATATAAAAGGCTATTGTTTCTAGATCATTGACAGTTCGCTACAAAGGCTCGTCAGGGGCTCTAATACTGACAATAGTGCTCTGTGATTGGCTCGAAGGGCCTTTGATTCCGAGAAAAGCTAAAGATAGAAACGTCACAAGACTTGATTGTTGGGTGTAGATTAGACTCTGGGACACAAAAGGTCATTTCAGGCTGTTATTTTGAAGAAGACATGGATCTCAAAACTCTATTTCACAATCTTCGCGAAGAAGTGTCTTGTTCGGTGTGTTCGGACTTGTTCACAGATCCTAAACAACTCTCGTGTCTGCACAGTTTTTGCTTCAAGTGTGTAAAACAGTGGTACGAAACGTGTGGGGGCGGAGACGCCATTAAATGCCCGAAATGCCAAACACTAAGCAGAATACCAGCAAGCGGTGATTTAACAGATCTTCCAACGAGCTTTTATCTAAATGGCTTTATCGATGTTCTAGCCATCAAAGAATGCAAGAACACTCAACTAACATGCGGAAACTGTGACAAGAAGAGCTCGGAAGCGTCATATTGTTTCCAGTGTTGCATATTTTATTGCGAAGAATGTTTAATATTTCATAGTAAAATGCGAGACAAAACGGGACATCGTGCTTTGGCGGTAAAAGAGTTCCAAGACAAGGACTTCGAGGATGTATTGAAGCGACCAGTGTTTTGTTCAAGACAAGGACACCAGAAAGAAGAGCTTAAATACTACTGCAAAGAATGCGAAACAGCTCTTTGTCAAACTTGCGTCACTTTGGATCATGGAGGTCATGTTTTGAAATTGATCGATGAAGAAGCCGAAACCAAAAGACTCGAGATGAAATCTGAAATCGAAAGGCAGAGACAAAATTTAAAAGCAAAAATGAACATAGTAAGTCAACTCGATGAAGACTGTGCTAAAGTTTTTCATCAAAGCGAAGTATTAAAAAGAGATGTTCAAAGGTTTGCTGAAAACTTGATCAAAACAATTCAAGCAAAAATGCAAAATATAATCACTACAGTGGAAGGCCGAACTAAGGAGTCCATTGAAAGTCTGACAGCAAAAAGGAACGAGATTCAGCAACAAATTAATGTTATTGAATCATCACTGAAAGAAGCTGATAAACTCTTTCAGAGAAGTACCAACGCTGAAGTCGTTCAGCTTAAAAAAACACTGCAAACAATTTTTGAGAGGGTGTATCAGAATGAAGTTGTTGCTCATGACCCTGGAACTCAAGAAGCTTTAGCGTTCATTAAAAATCAGAAATTGCTTGATGTTGTGAACGGAGAAGAAATCGGATCCTTGAAGGACCTTAACAGAACAAAAGCAAGTGAATCTGTGGCTGAAGGCGAAGGACTGAAGGAAGGAACTGTAGCGCGTAAAGCTCAATTCAATTTGATCACAAGAAACGCAGAGAGAAAGCGGTGGTATGATGAACAGGACCGTGTAACGATAGAGATCAAGGACGAGCAAGGACAAGAAGGCGTGACAGAAGTGAAAGTAGAGGACATGAAAGATGGTACCTACCATGTTAGTTTTTATCCCAGAGTGCAAGGTACATTCAAATTGTATGTTAAAGTAAACGAGGAACATATCCGTGGCAGCCCTTTTACAATGAGCGTAAAACCATTTCATGTAAAACCTGTTTTATGTTTTGGAGAGCGCGGCACCGGTGATGGAATGTTTAAGTATTCTCGAGGTGTGGCAGTGAGTGACAAAGACGAAATAGTAGTAGCAGACGACTGCAACCATCGGGTTCAAGTGTTTGACAGTAATGGTACTTTCTTAAGATCTTTTGGTCGCAGAGGTGAAAATGCTGGAGAGTTCAACCGACCTGATGGAATAGCCATTGATAAGAATGGGAAATTTCTCGTAGCAGACAGTTGTAACCATAGAGTGCAAATCTTTAGCAGGGAGGGGAGGCATCGGGGCTCATTTGGCGGCAAAGGAAGCCTTGATAGTCAGCTCTCTGACCCTTGGGGTTTATCCTTAGATAGTACTGGTAATGTTATTGTCGCTGATACAGATAACAAACTGATTAAGATCTTTACCCCAGATGGTAAGTTTATAATGAAGATAGGTGGGCAGGGATCTCTTTTTGTTCCTGTTCACTGTGTTCAGTGTGGTGAATATTTCATAGTGTCAGACTCAGGTGAACACTGTATCAAAGTATTTAACAGGGAGGGGCAATTTCAGCGCAAGTTTGGTAAGAAAGGGGAGGGGGACGGGGAATTTATTGATCCTGGTTATTTGTTAGTGAATGAGTCACAGCATCTGTTTGTCTGTGATCGTGATAATAATCGAGTTCAAGTCTTTGAACTTAACGGAAAATTCATCGGGAAGTTTGGAACAAAAGGCAGCAAGTTAGGAGAATTCAATAGACTCTTGTCAGTGGCAATGCTTAGTAATGGCCAAATTGTTGTGTCTGATCAATGTAACCATCGAATTCAAATATTTGAATGAAAAGTGGTTTTATTATATAAACACCAATGAGACACCAGGTGAGCTTTCGCGCGAAAACTTCACATGTGAAAATAACATGTTATCTTCACATGTGAAAATATCACCTTTGCTATGGCTACATAATAAATCGCGCCTTTCACACCAAAACTATTAAAGTGAAATGGTTTGGTATTTCACCTGGGTATTTCATTGGTGTTTATTTGATAAATAGAACATTACATGGCCGCTTAGAGATACGAAATTTCTCTTCGAGTATTGAAAAATATTTCTCGAGTGGGCGTAGCGAACGAGTTAAATATTTTTCAACACTCGAAGAGAAATTTCGTATCTCCGCGCGGCCATGTAATATCCTCTATATATTTCCTGAACATATTAGCATAAGCTTTTTAGTCTCCATCAATCTAAATATCCAAGGTAAATTAAGTTAGTCCACATTCGTTAATATTATTTTTGAAAGACTAAAAGATTTAGTTTTATATAATTTTGCTTCGCCAAAGGAGGGAATTAAGTTAGTCCACATTCGTTAATATTATTTTTGAAAGACTAAAAGATTTAGTTTTATATAATTTTGCTTCGCCAAAGGAGGGAACACTAGGGAGACACTAACATCAAGTGTAAGCTTTTTGGTCGTTTTTTGTGATCGATACTTTGCGATAGTCAAGGCAACCAGCTATACATGACAATGTAAGTAAAAATATTAAGACTAAACATTAGCTTAGTCATAAATATGTTTATTTTACCGTTCATCAGGTGTTGAAAGGACCAGTGCCATTTTTTTATTTTGCTTTTTTATCAATGAGACATCAAAAGCATGGGCCAGGTTTTGTGTAAAATGACTGCTGTACAACATAGATAAAGTTATGCGTCTAGTTTTACCTTAATTTTAATGAAATATTCTAAGATGGACAAATTTTGAAAACGTACAACGTGTATTTTGAGAAACCAAATGAGCTAAATTAGATTGAAAAGTTTGTTGTTCAAAGGTGTGGTTGACGGATTAACCGCTCATGCTCCCCCTTACAAAGGTCGGTTGAGCTACAACCTTGTTCTTGCTTTACAACTGAGTACGAAGAAGGATAGTACATTTAAGACTTAAGCACAGTGTTCAAATTCTCTTGTAAAGCAGATACCATAAAAAAATAGTTATGCTTGTCAGTGGAGATCCTTGAAGGAATTCAGATTTCCTATGTAATTTTCTGCGTAATTTAGTAAAAAATAACCAAAAATAAGAATAATCGTAATTCACCTGATTTTACATAGATAATTGTGTAGAAAAAAAAAACCCCGCAAACTTATCCCTTTGAGAAACTATGTCATTGCAGTTCTTAAAATATTATTAAAATTCTTAGGTATGAGAAACATTTTTTTCTGTTCTGTCTGTTGTATCTCACCAAGTGAGGCGTGAAATTTCGAGTTCGTGCGTGGGCCATTTCCCGACGACGCCATACATTTACCAGAATTCATTTCACTTCTGCATTTTTAATTTGCATCAATTATTAAATTTGAGGAAGAAAAACAAGACTGAAAGATTTTGGTAGTTATAATACGTAAAATTGACGCCATTGTGCAATTGTCCTATTATATACAGCTTACATAACGCAAGAAATAGAGAACGTGATAGCAATGAGCTGAAATAGGAAGACTGCATTTGATACACCACCCGACTGATGCTGAGGCTAGCACAAAATGGTTGTCCAGGGCCTTTTAGCCTAGTACCAGGCTTCTTGGCCTCTTTCTTTGCTCGTGTTCCTATGTCCCAGGCTACCTCCGCGATATGGCCAGTATCTTACGCATGCGCCCAGCCATATAACTTGGGAAGTGAGAGCTGTTTCGTCCTCATTGCGGCTCATGAGCATGGCCCCCTGAACACGGCTTTGATCTTACAGGGGTCCGAAGGGTATGTCATACTGATGAGCCTTAACGAGGGGCGCAAGAGCTGTCCATGGTTACCACTGCTCGGTTGATAATTGTTAGGGATAAAATTATTAATAGAATACGGGGTTTTGCTGTAATTTAATGACTTCTAAAGTTTAAGTTTTCGAATTTTCGCTTAAGTGTTGTAGCTTTGCTCTTTTCGCTTTAACAATAAAGTTTTTTTTCCTTCCTATCGTTAGTAAGAGCCAAATGCCACCAACATCCTCTTAACCCCACAAATGAACTGCGTAGGACTTTGGGTTACTGGATATTCACAAGCCAAAAATTCAAACACTCGACTTGTGAGGGACCAAAGCGCACGTACGGCACCAGTTATCACAAAAAGTGAAAATATGGCACAAAAATAGACGTAACCATCACCAACCCACTTGGATTGTGCGGGGAAAAGAAATGTGTATAAAAAAGGATAAACGACGTTATACTGTATTGAATAGTTAAAACCACTAAAGCTCTTATTTGGTTGTCTGTTTAGCATGGCCTCCTTTGTTGGGGGTCAAATGAAGCCGTAGCCATCGTCAGAGGTTTAATCCTAGTGTCCCAACAAGCATCCCTGTCTTTTTCTCAAGCCTCTGGAGTCCGACACGTCGTATTGCGTAAAGATGACCGTAAGAAAATCGATTACATTTTCTTCCTCTCCCTGCTTCCACTGTATTATAGTCCACCTCGATCCACTCGGCCTCCACATTTCCCCCGACACGTATAAATGCACCGCCCTCAGAAATTCAGTTTTTCCTGCGTCAAGCGTTGCACCCAGAAGCTCTGCTGATTGCACCTTAATGAGCATGTGCGCACGTAGTGTCCATGCTCCAAGCACCAAATATAGTCATTCCGGCCACTCAGTAAACAGTTTTAAAACGTAACGTAACGTAATTTGAATGTGCCTCTATTTATATTTTTTCTTCTTTGGTGACAAATCTCGTTTGTTACCGAAGACTGGGGTTCGAACAATACATTGTTAACTCCGGGTTTTAAGACAAAACAACTGCATTATATTACAAGCACGACAACGGAGAGAAACTTAACCAGAGAGATATAATTATTCAGTTCACGGTGGCCTTTCTGAGCTGATGTTGTCACGGTGTCGTGCTTCATATAAAAGGCTTTTGTTTCTAGATGATTGACACTTTACTACAAAGGTGCGTCAGGGGCTGTAATACAATGTTGCTCTGTGATTGGTTCGAAAGGCCTTTGATTCCGAGACTGAGCTAAAGATAGAAACGTCACAAGACTTGATTGTTGGGTGTAGACTAGACTCCGGAACACAAAAGGTCATTTCTCTGTTATTTTGAAGAAGACATGGATCTCAAAACTCTATTTCACAATCTTCGCGAAGAAGTGTCTTGTTCGGTGTGTTCGGACTTGTTCACAGATCCTAAACAACTCTCGTGTCTGCACAGTTTTTGCTTGAAATGTGTAAATCAGTGGTACCAGACGTGCGGCGGCGGAGATGACATTAAATGCCCGAAATGCCAAACTCTAAGCAGAACACCAGCAAGCGGTGATCTTAAAGATCTTCCCACAAGCTTTTATTTGAATGGCTTTATCGATGTTCTTGCCATCAAAGAATGCAAGAACACTCAACTAACATGCGGAAACTGTGACAAGAAGAGCTCGGAAGCATCGTATTGTTTCCAGTGTTGCATGTTTTATTGCGAAGAATGCTTAACGTTTCATAGTAAAATGCGAGACAAAACGGGACATCGTGCTTTGGCGGTAAAAGAATTCCAAGATAAGGACTTCGAGGATGTATTGAAGCGACCAGTGTTTTGTTCAAGACAAGGACATCAGACAGAACAGCTCAAATACTACTGTAAACAATGCGAAACGACCCTTTGCCAAACGTGTGTCATTTTGGATCACGGAGGTCATGTTTTGAAATTGATCGATGAAGAAGCCGAAACCAAAAGACTCGAGATGAAAGCTGTAATAGAAACGCAGAGACAAAATTTAAAAGCAAAAATGAACATAGTAAGTCAACTCGATGAAGACTGTGCTAAAGTTTTTCATCAAAGCGAAGTATTAAAAAGAGATGTTCAAAGGTTTGCTGAAAACTTGATCAAAACAATTCAAGCAAAAATGCAAAATATAATCACTACAGTGGAAGGCCGAACTAAGGAGTCCATTGAAACTCTGACAGCAAAAAGGAACGAGATTAGGCAACAAATTAATGTTATTGAATCATCACTGAAAGAAGCTGATAAACTCTTTCAGAGAAGTACCAACGCTGAAGTCGTTCAGCTTAAAAAAACCCTGCAAACAATTTTTGAGAGGGTGTATCAGAATGAAGTTGTTGCTCATGACCCTGGAACTCAAGAAGCTTTAGCGTTCATTAAAAATCAGAAATTGCTTGATGTTGTGAACGGAGAAGAAATCGGATCCTTGAAGGACCTTAACAGAACAAAAGCAAGTGAATCTGTGGCTGAAGGCGAAGGACTGAAGGAAGGAACTGTAGCGCGTAAAGCTCAATTCAATTTGATCACAAGAAACGCAGAGAGAAAGCGGTGGTATGATGAACAGGACCGTGTAACGATAGAGATCAAGGACGAGCAAGGACAAGAAGGCGTGACAGAAGTGAAAGTAGAGGACATGAAAGATGGTACCTACAATGTTAGTTTTTATCCCAGAGTGCAAGGTACCTTCAAATTGTATGTTAAAGTAAACGAGGAACATATTCGTGGCAGTCCCTTTCCAATAAGCGTAAAACCATTTCATGTAAAACCTGTTTTATGTTTTGGAAAGGAAGGCAACGGTGATGGAATGTTTGATTTTCCTCGAGGTGTGGCAGTGACTGACAAAGACGAAATATTAGTAGCTGACGACTGCAACAATCGGGTTCAAGTGTTTGACAGTAATGGTACTTTCTTAAGATCCTTTGGTCACAAAGGTGAAAATGCTGGAGAGTTCAGGCGACCTGATGGAATAGCTGTTGATAAGGATGGAAACATTTTCGTAGCAGACAGCCATAACCATAGAATACAGATCTTTAGTTGGGAGGGGAGGCACCTGGGTTCGTTTGGCGGCAAAGGAAGCCTTGATAGTCAGCTCCTTAACCCTTGGGGTCTATCATTAGATAGTAATGGTAATGTTATTGTTGTTGATACAGGTAACAAACTGATTAAGATCTTTACCCCGAAGGGTAGGTTTGTAATGAAGATAGGTGGACAGGGTTCTTTTAGTTATCCTGTTCACTGTGTTCAGTGTGGTGAATTTTTCATGGTGTCAGACCTTGATGAACACTGTATCAAAGTATTTAACAGGGAGGGGCATTTTCAGTACAAATTTGGTAAGGAGGGGGAGGGGGACGGGGAATTTAATAAGCCTAATTATTTGTTGGTGAATGAGTCACGGCATCTGTTTGTCTGTGATCGTTTTAATAATCGAGTTCAAGTCTTTGAACTTAACGGAAAATTCATCGGGAAGTTTGGAACAAAAGGCAGCAAGTTAGGAGAACTCAATAAACCCTTGGCAGTGGCAATGCTTAGTAATGACCGAATTGTTGTGTCTGATGAATTTAATCATCGAATTCAAACATTTGAATGACTATATTTCCTGAAAATATTGGCATAAACATGTTATTCTCCAAATATCAATCTAAATATCCAAGGTAAATTAAGTTAGTCCATTATTTCTGACGGACTTAAAGATTTAGTCCACATATTGTTATTTAAACGGTTTATATAATTTTTCTTGGCCTTAGGAGGGAACACTAGGGAGACCCTGGCATCAAGTACTAAAAGACTATGTTGACTTAAGTTTGTATTAAGTGCTTTTTGGTGGTTTTTTTGTGATCGAGACTTTGCGATGGTCAAGGCAACCAGCTATAACATTGTAAATAAAAATATTAAGACTAGACTCAGTTACCGTGTAGCATGAAAATTTTGCGGATTGGCGATTTTTTGTGGTTTGCGGGAACAAATTTTTGCGGTATGAGATGACTGAAATTTCTGGTGGGAACTAATTTTTTGCCATTTTCAACTTTTATTTTACGGTATGTTGAGTCCAAGTTCACTCTTCTTACATATTTAATGGAGAATAATACGGTAATCACTGTAATATCTTACTGCACAAAGGGACTGAACAACAGCAAAACAATTTAACAAAAGTCTATCCCTACCATATACAACAAGTCCATTAAAAGCAGAGTTTTTAATTTGACTGAAGGGAGTTAATTTTTCCATCGTTTTATTTTGCGGTTTTTTTTTTCTGCGGGAACTAATTGTTGCGGATCGAGGTCAATGCGCAAAATTCGCAAAAAAAAGAACCCGCAAAATTTTTATGCTACACGGTATGCGTCTAGTTCTACATGTAATTTTAATGAAATATTATAACATGGACAAATTTTGAAAACGTACATAGAGTATTTTGAGAAACAAGTGTGCTAAATTAGAGCTAATTAGATTTAACATTGCTGTCCAAATAACTTTTATCCAGTGTATTTGTTTTGAGAGCCTTACCAGGGCCGCATGTTGAATAAAGCAGATAACTACGAAAAAGCGGTTTGCTCGAGCAACTGATAAAACTCTGAGGGTCCAAGTCAGTACTGGATCAGTTATGTCAAGCAATTTATCGAACTAAATCGCTGTTTTGAATTTTTACCCCAAAACATACCTGATTCTTACTTTCCAGGACAGTTAGGTTTTGTGTAAAACAATTCACCCATTCATTCCTCCATTTTTCCTCATCTTTCCCCCATCAAACGATTTGGAACTGTTGGGTTTTGAGGACAGGGGCCCGGAGATATAAAACCTTCTCGGAGCAAAGGCGAGAACCAACAACAAACTCAACGCTCGTATAGCGTCACTTCCGGCGGAATTCAAACCCGGGCCAAATTAATGGGTTGCGCACCACGCAGCGCTCTTCACCTACGCTTTCCAATTGAAAAGAAGAACAATTTCTCTTTTACCCGCGATTTATTTTATCGTTTATTAGGTCACTAGAGAGATTAAGCGTCAAGTTTACGGCAAACGGCAAAGGTCAGATTCATGTGGAGATTTTCTTGGAATAGAAAATAAGCAGATAAAAACTGTGCAGAACAATTCTTATGAATAAAACTGGCGTGAAGCTTCTTATTTTTTAGCAGAAGTAATAAAAAGTAACCGAAAATAAATCGTTTGGCGCAAACGGTAATCTTAATCTCTTTACTATTTCTTTTCTCCAAATGTTCTCCTTGCAAACAAACGAATCGGAATTTGCGCATGAGTAATTTTTTTCTGTCCGTTGTCACGCACGGTTCGCAATAGTACTTGGGACGGGTCGGCACACTAACTAGAAAATTAAAAAAGGTCACTCAATTTTATTTACAATTTTAAGATAGGAGTAACAGCTGCGGCGATATGATTTGCTTGAAACCGTTTATCTGCGGATGTCTTTTAGCGCCACTGAAGAGTGTCCAACTAAAGGGCGTTACTAATTGTTCTAAATGATGATAACGTCGGAGCAAACAACATTGTACCAGAGAGGGAAAGAAAAGTGCAGCCACCCACACCCTTTTACTCACCCCGCCCCACCCCACTCTGTTTCTCTTCCGGACATTGTCATTTCACATGATGTAGCAATCCAGGGACAATTTACAAAAATTGTAACCTCAGACGTTACTACTAATGTCTGGCGCTACAAAGAGTTTGACTGAATGGACTGAACATCAGACGTGAACATTTGAGGGCAGAAGTTAAAGATTTGCTCAACTAGGCCCTATTATAAAAGATAAGTTTTCTGTTGAATGGCATGTTCACGTGAGCAGGAAAGACATGACAACAAGTTTTCTTTCGGCGAAAGTGTTCTTTTGAATAAAACACGTTCACCGTTTTTTCTTGGGCTTTCTCTTGTCTTTACTCTTGTGCGATTCCTTCTTTTTACGCCTAAAAATGAAACGTGTTTTATGTTACTGAGTTATAACTTTTGCCACGAAAAAGACAAACGGAATTAACGAGTTACAAACTGTCAAATGATACTTAATAACACAATTCACTGCATTGTAATATTTATAACTATAATGAGAATCGCTGAAGTAACAAGACTTAATTTCCAATCTAATATTGACAAACATTGGATAAAGACCCAGAACCAGGGGTTAAACAGTGAGTACAGATTCTGGTCTATTGAATTGAGTTAACTTTAAAAGACTTAGGTCGTCTTATAACTCCTACGTCAACGCAGAAAAATAGGGATAACAACCAGTTTTGCATTTAAGAGTGAATTTTAGATCACAAAATACGAAGAACAAAGGAGTACTGACCTCTTCTTTCGATCATCATCCGAGGACTCTTCGGATGATTCCGAAGATTCCGATGATTCTTCCGAACTCGAACTATCTGCAGAGACAACAAGTAATACCCTTACTTAACCTCAGGCGCATCTCAAAATGCAGCAAAAACTGGAAGTTTAACCAACACATAGAAGAAAAAAGACAAAAAGCCGTACAGACCGTAAATTGTGCCTTAGAACTACCCCCACAGGTGGAGCCACGACCCCACCCCCTAAATTTTGTCTGAGATAGTGTGTTCTGTAAAATCTGTCTTATAGGACCTAACGTTTTTGACACAGATGCTCTTGGGGTTCTTAATGCAATAAATAAATAAATAGTATCTATTCAGCTGGCACAGGCTTCCTCTTTTTGAGTTTTCTGTACCTGCTCCTCGATAATGAGGGAAGACGGAGTAGAGGACTAGACTTTTTAGCACAAAAACTGAACCAAAAAAAGCTCCCTGAAGTACAGACGCTTAATTTTTGAAAAGCAATCTACTCTCAAGCCGATACCACACAGTGGTACCATGCCTTTTAGCATGGTAAGTTGCAGAGACGTTGAGCAAAGTGAAGGTGTATTGATGAGTATGAGAGATACTGGCAAAAGAGCTCTAGCTTAATTGTGGATTGTGGAGATTTTCAATAATAGTGCCAACATTATTCTAACAGCGCTGAAAATGGCGTCAACCGCTCACGGAAGATGGGGTTTGCTTTCACACGATAGCAGAAACAGCCAGTCAAAAGAATTTGCTCGCTCAGACCCACCTTCACCGCTGCTATCTTCAGAAGAATCCGAGTCACTGTCACTCGCCGCAGCTCGCTGTTGGGCCATGATCATTTTAGGGGCATTTTTCAAGTGCTCTCTTAGTTCATCCCTGGAACACAACATAAACAATGTCACTATGTTACAACATCATACAGAAAATAGCCTTTGTGTTGAGGAAAAAATGCAATAATCCATCGCATCAAAAACAACTTAATGGAAAAGCAAATAATATATCTCTCCGAGGGGAGGGGAGGGGAGGGGAGGGGAGGGGAAGGGCCTGACACAAAGTCATTGACAGGCTCATGTTTATTCTATCTATCCCTACCCTCTCCCCACTTGGGCCATCGCCTAATCTCTTGGATTGTTATGCCGCCTTACTACTGAGAGGGGAACTGAGGGTGCTTTCCATTTGTTATAACTGACGGCCAGACCATTCTCACCATAATGAGAATTTCACTTTTAATCCAAGTTCTCCAGGCAAATCAGTCAAATCCTAAAAAAAATAGTATGCACCAAGGAGATTGGAAAAAGCTTATTTCATTTTCAAACTGACTGGTAGGGCTATGATCTGACAAATGGAAAGCGCCCTACGTATCACTATCTATCACTGCCCACAATCCCGAAAGGCCAGACACGACCACTTAAATAAATATATCATCATCATCATTATTAAGCGATGCGATGCACGGCTGGTTTCAAAAACGTATAGGGACTACAAGTAGTTACAGCTCAATACTCACGTGACTCCACCCAGTCCAATAGAAGTGAAGAAATTGATCGAAAAACGCGTGTTGCGAGGATTGTCGCGAGGAAAGATTCCTTCAAAATACTCAGCAAGGAATCTGTCAAGGCAAGAAAGGCATTCAATTGTAGATTGTAAATCAGAAAGATACCAATACCTTGAGCTTCTTGCCAAAAACAAAGACAGTCTGCGCACCAAACCTTGTGGAAGCAAAGGGTGAGCTACACCTTGCTTTGAAAGAGAGAGCTGGTAATTTAGAGTCTTGGTAGGTTTCTCCAATTAATTAGTCTGGTGTAAGATCCTAAGATCCCTACAAAAGCACAATGCCCACCTACTGTCGGGTCGTCGTACATTTAACCTCCCTGTCTGGTCCATTATCTACCTTATGGTAATTTTCGTAAGTGTTTTCACTCTAGAGCGGTTTTCATTTGAGTGTCGAAAAGTAATTGGTTTTGCACTTTCTACACGATGCGATTGGCTTAAAAGATTCGCGCCACCTTTTCATCCAATCAGAAGTAAGACCAAAGCCAATTGTGACGCGCTTGCATGCATTTTCCCGCGCTTTGCGTCAGCCACATGTAATTACTTCGAGTTTTGATTGGTTCAATGTATTGTCTGTGTCCTATGTGATTGGCCAGAGTAATTACTTTGGTTTTGGTTTTACGACACTCAAACGAAAACCACTCTAAAAACAGCATGCAACTAGCTATGAACAAGATCCCAAGAGACTACAATACTACACCTACCCCTCCCCTAACCTAACACTTTGCCATTGTTAACGTAAACTGAGGAGAGGGGTGGGTGTGTCTTTTCCTAGAATCTTATTGTTATGTAGAAGCTACTAATGACATATTGATGTACTAGCACGGATAACCAATAGGAAAGTGTAGGATTAAACTAAACACAACTTCAACACTCAAAATACTTACGGATCTTTCAGACGTTCATTGAGTTTAGGAAGACCCATGTATTCTGCAAGCTCTTGGAATAAGATTTTTATGAAGACTCGACTGGAAAGAAAACCACACAAAATATTCAAAAGAAGAAAAAAAAACCACGTAAACATATTTACAGAATCCGGGTGATGCATAGGAGAAGACATCTAGCAAAGAAAGCGAAAGATTTTGCTGGTCAATCTCGAAATTTTGCCTGTCAAACTAAGGCGAACTCATAAATATCCAAAAAAATACTTGACTTGCTAACAATACTTCGGGAAGTTTTGCTTCTTTTCGCTAGACAGTGACGAGCTACGAACAGCAGTTTTGGGAAAGGGTTAAACAAACCTCGAGGAAGTGGTGTCATCTTCATTTAATTTGATACAAGCAAGAACCTAAAATACAACAACAAAAAGTATTAAGCCTCAAGACTATGCCCAACTGCACAAAAATGAGTTTTCGATTAATACCTTACTTCAAGTTTGAAATCACCTTAAACTAAATTTTATAAGAGCTGGAGAAAATGTCTTGTAATAAGTCATTTTACAACAACACATCACTTGGTTTCAAGACATGCAACAAAGTAAAAAGCAATGTGGTTTTTTCAGAAGTTTTCAGTAGACGTGGTTAACTGAGTGATGATTTGAATCTCACCAGGACTGTAGCTGAGTAAACTTACCGTCCAAGGTATGGCATCTGTGAACAGCAAATGGGCAAAAAACTTGGCAACATTCCTCAACTTGTTTGTTTCAAGGCGATGAATGGTATCATACTAAAGGAAGACCACAATTACCACTATTAAACACAAAAACGTTGAAGCAAAAAGTTTCTAATTTGTGGTTAACATTCAGTCAATCTTTTGCAATCGGGGTTGATACAACCTATAGTTCTTCCAGTTTAGATAATAACCATGTTTTGGGCAGCTCTTAATTCCCATTCTCTAGAATATTGACAATAAAATAATATTAAGCTTTTCCATAGCTGCTCTTCATTAAATTTTGCCACCTCAGAAACTTGAAGGAGACTGAGCCAAGTTAACTTTCGCAAAGACTTCTGGGATTATTACTAAGGACATGTCGGTCAGCTATTGGCCAATTTTTTTCCTGTCCCAGAAGTCTTTGCAAAAACTTAACTCTCCCCTGTTTACTTCTTGTGTCTATACTATAGTGGTGATTTTTTTCATTTTAAGGCTTCAAATCATTATATTTTTATCAGTTGTGGATTTACTCACTTGATCATTAAATGCCTTGACATATTCCTCCATGTATGACTTGTTCAGCTGACAGAATCTCTGTGACAAAAGGCAAGAGTAGAATTTAAAATCATCAATAATGTGAAGTGATTTATGTCATCTGATTATTGTTTTATTAGAACAAAATAACATGTGGGTCATGATTCACGAGATGAACACTATTATTTTGCAGTCTACATGTACATTCAACTCTCACTAAGATGGACACCTTTGGGACCGGCACTAGCTGTCCGTCTTACAGAGATGTCCGTCTTATAGAGAGTCAAATAGAGGGAGGAAAGATAGGCAGGGACCAACACTAGGTGTCCGTTTTACAGAGGTGTCCATCTTATAGAGGTGTCCGTTAAGAGACAGTCCACTGTATTTTAAACTGAAAACTGCTTTTTGGGAAGAATTACTACTCACTGGGGCCAAGAAGCTTCTACCTGGTTTGAGCCTATATTGTTCAAGCCTGTAAAAATAGATGTCTCTCATTGCTCATAGTTACTGGGGCATTTCATGAGAGAGACTCTCTTAGGTGGAAGCAAACAATAAGATTCGGCTGTATTGGTCATTTTGTGGGTTGTAATCTTTCTAGAAGAAACTAACCTGTGCTAACAAGCCAAAGAATTTTTCATATGATCTCTGCTGGGCACAACAATCAACGATCATTGTACAGAACTCTGGCTGTGGAAAAAGATGAGAACCACAGTGCATTAAAACAAAAGTCAAAATGCTATTAATCAACTAGTTAAGCAGTTCTCTGCTCTTGATAAATGAAATCTTCTTGTTACACCAGTGACAGTGGAGAAAGCATTTAACAATCATGAGATCTTATTTTGTAGTACTTCACTCCTGCAAAAATATGGCAAACAGCAATAACTCTCTTCACCAAGGCAACACAGAAAGCTGGTAAAATCTACAGCAAAATTTTTCTTTCAAATCGGCACTCTCCCCTGGAATCAATGAGTCCCTTTCATTTAACAAATTTATTCTTGTTTTTCATGTTACCACATTCCTGCTGACCAATAGCATAGCTCTGACATCCCGTATAAAAACCACACACAATGCATAATCCTCTAGCTTTGATTAGCTCTGATGACAGGCTAGCTGCTCAAAACATCAGCTTCTCAATTCCCCTAGGTTGGCAAATCTACACGTAATTTATTAACGTAGTTGGACAAAACTTATTTTTGTTATTACTATTAGTACAGTTATCATAACTATATCAAAATTCTCAAATCTGATTAGCTATCAACTGCCCTGATTTCAGCCTTAATAGGACAATTAATAGGAAGGACAGTATGCGTCATGCAAAGTAATTGGACAGTACGTGCCATCATGCACGTGCTTAAAATTAATGGCATTTTTCACTGCTGGCAAAACAAAATCGGAATTTCTTCAGTTTTGATTTAAAAAGGAGCCTTATATCACAAAATTTTAATTTTGTTGAAGCTATGATTAATTGGTAAAAGGCATGAGTGGAGTCCAATTCAGTCTGAAATCATACTTGTGATTACACAAATTGGACTCCCGCGTTTGTTAATCACTCGTATGATTACAGACCGAATTGGTCTCCACTCAGTCCTGTTACCATTACTAACTGTCCATGTATTGTACAGTAACTCACCAATTGCTCATCCTTAATTTGCATTTTTAAAAGCTTGTGAGCACATTCTTCGAAATCCAAACTGAAATAATGAGAAGTATTAAGAACAAAAAACAGATCCTTCACAATCACTTCAACAAGAACACTGTCCTAGCTACTACAGATACAGGGTATAGCAGACATGGCGGGCATTCGAAAGGGAGGGGAACCAGTTAGTGCCCCTCAAGTTCTTGTGTACCAGTATTCCCCTTTTCTCCATCAAATCCACATCATGCAGGCTATGACAGATTTATTCTTTACCCCAAAAATATCAAATTTTAAATAATAGTTACCCTATCGGTACTTAATTTCATGATTTTGGCAAGACAGTATTTTGTGNGACTCCCGCGTTTGTTAATCACTCGTATGATTACAGACCGAATTGGTCTCCACTCAGTCCTGTTACCATTACTAACTGTCCATGTATTGTACAGTAACTCACCAATTGCTCATCCTTAATTTGCATTTTTAAAAGCTTGTGAGCACATTCTTCGAAATCCAAACTGAAATAATGAGAAGTATTAAGAACAAAAAACAGATCCTTCACAATCACTTCAACAAGAACACTGTCCTAGCTACTACAGATACAGGGTATAGCAGACATGGCGGGCATTCGAAAGGGAGGGGAACCAGTTAGTGCCCCTCAAGTTCTTGTGTACCAGTATTCCCCTTTTCTCCATCAAATCCACATCATGCAGGCTATGACAGATTTATTCTTTACCCCAAAAATATCAAATTTTAAATAATAGTTACCCTATCGGTACTTAATTTCATGATTTTGGCAAGACAGTATTTTGTGGGGTTTTATTTTCGCGATTTTAACAGGTAAACATGAAAAAAGAGCATTAAATCCCCTGATTTAAGCATTCTCAACTTCATTTTTTTTTTTCAAAAAGTCCGAACCTGTACAAAAAATTAGATACACTGGAACAAGCAATGTGTGAAATCTTTGTTGTTTAACAACAGAAGACACAAAATGGAGTTTACCAGTAAAGCCAGAAGGCCATTTGAGTTTGTTGATACATATTGTTGCTATTACTTGTCAATTGTTATCCAAATTTTCTATATGGGTATTAATTTTGCGACATGTATACAGTACCTGGACTGAATTGTGAGATATATTGTCCTTCGCAAAGCAACAAGGTTTGTTTCAGTGTGATCAATAATTTCCATCTTCTCATCTTCTGTTGGAAAAAAAAAAGATATATTTCATTTTATTAGAAATAAACGCCACCAGTTCTAACAGAGTGACCACCATTTCTACATAACCTGCTCTGAGCATTGAGAAGGTTTTGAAAAAAAAAAAACATGCCTTTGTTTTCATCATCATCCTCATCTTCATCATCATCCTCGTCATCATCATCATCTGACGATTCGCCTGAGTCACCTTCACCAAGAATGTCTGTGAAGCAAAAACAACAGAAATGAAAAAGAAATCATTAAATAAAATAATATTATTGTAGAAGTGTAAGAAAGCAAAACCAGGACTTTCTGAAAACCTGTTGGAAAACTCTAAACCTTGCAGTAAAATGTTTGATACTCCAAGTTCAAAATTTTTGGAGACCCACAACTTTTTTGCTAAAAAGCAGCTGGACAGTTATTATTAAAGATGCTAATCTTCTTTAAAAGTGCTAGACAAAAACTGACGGCTGCAGTAAAACATGAATTATTAATGAATACTTGCCTTTTTTTATTTCCTTGTATTTATCTTCATTTTCCAGGAAATCTGGGTCAAACTTGAATATATCTGCATACAAGCAAGTGATAATTATTAGCACCAACATTAATACAAACATTAAAATCAGTGCAAGAATCCTAAAAGTTCAAAGTCAGTTACAGAAGAGAATTATTAAATTTTACATCTGACTTACTTAGAATATCTTCTGTGTTTCCAGCTTCTTCCAGCCGCAGTAGATGTGTAATTTGATCTTCCTCCTCCACAAGATCCAGTTCGGCTGGAACAGCGACATGATCCTGTTTAAAATACACAAAATTGAACATCTTGATTTATCATGAATGATATGTAAAAAATTCAGGTTGAGGGGAGAACGCCTGAATTTTCAACCACTTAGGTCGTTCATTCTACTGCGAAGATCATGTTCACTTTTATTGATCCATTGTTCAAAATTTGATTCATTCGATAAATTTCAATTCGAAAGGAAAGTAACATAATTATGTACCTTGAATCCATCTTTTCTGATGGCAAACATCACTTCAATCATGTACTGGACCCTCTTGTCAATTTCCGCACTGTGAAGAATGTTCCGAAGCCTTTCAAAGACAGCTATATAGAAAGCAATAACACACGATTAAATCAACAGCAACACCTTCATGGTCTAACCATGAATGCTGAGTAAGTTAACTGCAAATTCTACAGTGTAACTACAGATGACACAAAAGCAGATGTGATTTAGAGAATTAAGAAACTGATTGTTAATTAAGAGAGAGCCTTTTTTAGCCCTGTTTGATTCCCCTAAAATTAAATTAGAGGGTCAAAAATGTATCATTCTTCTTCTGAGTTCATGCATTATACCACAAGGATTAATTAGTTATCAGTTATTTTATTGTGTTACAGACAGTGTAACTGAATATGCTATTTTTTTTATTTGATTGCTCAGAATGTATTGACATTGTAATATTATTTTAGTGAACATACCATGAACACCGCTGGATGAGACTTCTGTCAGCTTCATACCAACTTCTTTTAAGAATCCAATCTATAAAATTAAATATAACATTTTTCAGCTTAAAATAATAAATTTCAACCTTCTGTTGTCCAAGAGACTGCTGGCCTTTTAATAGATAATAAAATCTATGTTGTTTAACTAAAATCTTAATAACACTATTATTAGGGTTTTCATTTAGAATTCTAGTAGCAGGAGAAAGGTGTAACGTTACACGAGAATATTTTGAAAGAGTTTCCTCGTCTGAATAAAAAATAGTCACAGGATACCGAAGCATCAGCTGAAGAATTTTTCATAGTAAACAGAGAATTCTTCGATCTCTGATACCTAGTGAACACCCTGCTCTTCAATCTAATGGAAAAAACTGAGGGTTACAAAATCAGTTTCGGTTTAAAAAATTATAGGTTTGACAAATCTGTGGCTCAAAAACTTAGTATTCCAATGGATACACTGTAGAACTCACCGCAACCTCCACACTGTCATCTGTGGGTTTGTGGAGAAGCAAGGTCAGAATCTCCAGGGCTAAGATCTCATGTGCCTGCAAAAAAATGTATTTATAGAATAATGCCTGATTTGAAGACTAAGCTGATGAAGTTGGAGGAGCCATTTTTCTAAAAAAATAACTGGAAGCAATCAAAAATCACTGCCTCTGACTAGTAACTCTGACACATGTAGGCTAGTGGATTGTTATATGTTTCTGGGAAACTGCCCACCTACCCCTCCCCATTAACACTTACTTCTCACTTAGGGCAAAATGTTAGTTTAGGGGAGGGGTAGGTGGGCAGTTCCCAGAAACTTATAATGATCTGCTATTAATTGGATTCTTTGGTAAAAAACAAAAGCAAAATCAGCAACGAATAGATACTGTAGTGTAGAACATACACTGACAACTGACAACTATGGGAGAACTAAAGCCAGCTACATTTAAAATACACTGTAATATTTCTGAAAACGTTAAAAATATATAGTAAAAAAAATAAATTTATGAAAATATAAAATAAATAAATTAATAATAATCGTAATAAAAAGAAACACCCAGACGAGTACTCACCACTTGCTGATTGACAAGATGAGCAATGAACCTTGTGGAAGATAAACAAACAGCCTACATGCAGGGCACAAATAAAAGCATGATAAGAGATAACGAGACAGGTTGAAGTGCTGCATAACAATAATCTAATCTAGCCATCTTGGTTTTTAAGCAACTGTTACACTGCATGTACCGTACAAGTAATTATGGATGATAACATTGTCAAAGTGTCGTAGAAACACAAGCCATAACAGTGGATTTACAAGAAACATTTATTTTTTGTTTGATTGTTTGTTTTGGTTAGTGCTTCCTCTGTATTCTTCGACAGCTTCTAAGCAGAACAGAAGTGTTCCATCGGAACATTCTACAATATTTTCCTAGTCACAATGCATGCCATCTTATACATTGTATGAACTTTTCCTCTTTGAACTTGAAACTTCAACAGTTACATGAAATCACATTCAAGACAAGTTTACATGTAAAGTTGTACAGTTTGTATGTTGTAAATAGAGAAAAGAACATAAGAGCACCTTATCATTTCTTCTGTACGCTCGTCGAAACAGCAGAATCAGACGTCGAAGAAGAAGTTCTCCATTTTTTGGAAACTGTTCAAAAAAAAAATTGGCAGAGTTAAATGTGGACTCATTTACTATTTTTGAATGTACAACAAAGACTTACTACTAATTTTTTTTTAGCACAGACAAACCTTTGTGTTGAGGATGGCAACAAGTGCGGCATAAACATGAGTGAATGTTGGAGAAGCTGCTTGAGCTCGCATGATTGACTGACAAAGCACACCTCTGCAACAAAACCAAGAACAAAATCCCTTGTAGATTAGAGTAAATGCTGGCATGATTTGTGCAGTCATTAACATTCCAAAAAAGACATTATATAACTACTTGTCAGTCAAGCTCTAAAAAATCATCCCGCAGTTACCATTTTAATTTAAATTAAATACCCAATATTCATTGTAATATCATGTGTGGTTTGAGCATCCATTTTGTGACTGAATATTGAATCACTTGCATGGATGTAACAGAGAACTTAATAACTTGCTGGAAAATAATATTATTTTATTAATTATCAATCATTTTATTATTTTATGCTCAATCCCTACCTTCCTCGTACAATGTTCTCCTGGAAAAGCTCTCTTACAATGTTACCAATATTTGATGTGTTAACCTACAATAACAATAAAAAAATTCAGAACCAGTTGAGTCTATCAAATAATCATCAAAACTAGGAATCATAATACTTGAGTAAACAGAGCTGTCACTAAGATTTCAAGTTGCCTGTTAAATACAACAAGTAGGCGGGGAATCAAACAGCTAGGGATTTCTTTTGGTTCTATTTTTCTTCTTTTTTCGTCTGAAAGTAGCCAGGAACCACGTACTGTAGTTAGGAAAACCCTGGTCCCCGGCTCTTAATGAAATTGAAGCCCTGAGTAAATCTAATTATTAAGACAAAACTGCATACTGATGATGGAGTACAAGAGGCAACTGGGGAAAAGCAAGTTCCACACTACACTTGTAAACCAGGAAAAGTTCCAGAGATATGGACAGAGCCTCTTGGCTCATGTGTACCTTTATCTTATCTTACTGTTTAAAAATACAGTTTAGCACTAACCTTGTTAACAAGACCATTGATGCTTTTCTTTAATGCTTCCCAACTGAGTCTCTGATAAGCTTCACTGAAAAAAAATTGATGAACACTAAATACATGTACGGGTATGTCACAATTAACTTTTTGAAAAACAGTTATTATTAGTGTACATGCAGACATACAGTGTATCGGCTAGTTGTCAGTGAAACCTGTATTAGGTTAACCTAGATTTAAATGACACCCTGTATTAAAATATGGACAAGAGGGCCGGTAAAGCGCTAAATGGTCCTTTTAATACATTTTTTCTGTTGGTAAAACCAGTACAGCAAGCTCAACTTTTAGCAAAGAACCAATTTTGGTGACCTAAGTTTATAAAATGGACACCAGACATAATTAAGTGATTGAGTGCCAAAGAACTCGTCACATATGAGAGGTTTTGTTTAAAAATTACCAAACCAAATTGGCAGGCCAAACCCTTGAATTGAAAAGCACCAGGAATAATGGTTGAGGGATAAAGACCAAACAAACAACTGCCCTTGACCCTCCAGGTTGCCTGTTGAGCTAGGGAGCAAACATCCACACAACCTCATAAAACTATGTTGGCTAACAACCCAGCCAAGAGATTCAAACATTTTGCAGGGCTAAGGAAGGACTCAGCCAAACTATTCTTTAATGATATCAAATTTTGGTAGGAATTTGGGAAAAGCAAGCCCAAAACGAGAACATTCAATGGTGTCCTATGTTCCAATAACTGCAGAAAACCTGAACTGTATGATGATGATCATGGCAACCCAATTAAAGGTGCTAGGTTAATAATTTAAGATAAAATCCATAAGGAAATTGAGCCATTTTAATTTTCAGTGGACAAAACCTTGCACCAGAATAATTTAAACAATATCCCATTTTTTAGGGTTATAGATGTAATTAGTTGTTTGTAATAACACCAAAGAAAATTTATCATCAGAGCCCGAGAAAATAGATGTCAAATTTCACAAAATCACATCCTACACATGAAATCTTCAGAATTTTACCTGTGCTTTCACAATTCTTGCGTCCACTGAAAATTAAAATTACTCAATTTCCTAATGGATTCTGTCTTAACCATTTCAAATCCTAAATACTCACCTACTCTTGTCCTCAATACTCTGTTGCATCATTTTGAGTCTTGCTGGGGGAATATATGCACCTCCTGAAAAATTAATAGCGCAATAAAGATCACAAAAATATACCAAGCAAAAAGATTCAAGAGTCAAACTTATGATATGGCTGAAAACATTCAACAGTTTTTGGACAAAGAAAACACTTTCATGGGAAAGTGAAGCTATCAATAATATTATTCTTCAACCTAAGGTTGAGTTTAAGAAGTGTACAGTTCATGTACATGAACACCTGAGAAAGTAACAGGAAGGACACTTATAAAATAGTGTCACCCTCTCTTAATAACACTAGTTTGGTTGGGTTTTAAACCAGCCCACTTAAATGGTTTTTTTCACTGCTAGCAAAACAACTCTAGGAATTTCTCGGGTTTAAAGTTTAAAAAAGCCTAAAATATCACAAATATTTTGTTATAGTTATGATCAATTGGTAACAGAACTTAGTGTCATCCAATTCAGTCGATACTTGGGATTAAACAAATTGGACTCCCGCTACGCGGTTGTCCGATTTTGTTAATCACTCATATGATTACAAACTCAGTCCTCTTACAATTTTGTGCCATTATTAATCAGCCAATACAGAGATAAAATAACCACAAGAATCTCTACCTGTTCTTGTCAGAAGTGGATTGTTTGGGTCCACCTTCTTTTTAGCAGTCTCTACACCCTGCTCTGTCTTATCTTCTTTTTCTCCGGCTTTCTGATCTTCTTCACCCCTTGTTCTGCTCCTATCATGTGCATCACCTCGCTCCTGATCCTCTACAGGACTACGTTTATTTTTCCTATGATCCCTCTCTTCATCCGAGGGAGTATTGCGCCGCCTTCTTTCAGAACGATCATCATGGTCTTTTCTTCTTCTTCTCTCCCTTTCTCTATCATCGTCATCATCATCACTCCTGTATCTTCTTCTTCTGTGTCTCTCTCGGTCTCTGTGTCGATCTTTTCTCCTATCAGAATTTCTCTCATCCTCACTATCACTTTGTTGTGTCCTTCTTGGGTGTCTTCTGTCCTCTTCCTTATCGTCTTCTTTTTTATTTCTGTTTTCCTTATCTTCTCTTCTTCGTCTCCTGCTACAGTGGCAAAACAACAAGAAGCACAATGGACAACGATTACTGGACAAAGATAAGCAAAATATCATGATTTGTCAGTGGCGAGCACATAACTTCTATGTCCACAGAGAACGTATTGAGGAGAAAAATTTTATGAGAATTAAGATTATTGACAAAGGGTTAACTATGACTTAACTTACATTAACTACTTAATTCTACACATACCTATCATAGTCACTTCCAGACTTGTCTTCGTTATTTCTTCTCTTATCACGACCTTCTCTTGAACTAAAAAATTAATGTTAATAAAGGAATCTTTATTTCCAAAGTAAATGCATGGGTTACTTTTGTTGATTTCCACCAATCAGATCATTGCCTCCTCAAATCAAGAACGTCACATGAATTAATTTCTTTGAAGCAGATTTCAAGTGGTAGATGCAAAGGTATTGTGAGATGAGGAGTGTGTGATTGTGATTGGAAGTGTTTTAAGGTTAAAAACCTGAAATATTTACAAAGAGAAACATTGGAGAACTTGGAAAATGGTGAGGATATTTCTGCCATTCAACTAACCAGATATGGATTATCAATAATTTATTTTCCAGTCTGCACCGAAGTTTCTGGACAGCCATCGTGACGAATTTCAAGCCCATACATTGCTGTTGTAACATCACATCCCTAACTTTGCTAATGTACATGTAAGTCACAAAGATCAATGGAAATATCTTAAATCAGTATGTGTTGCTGTTGAGTTCAATGGCAAAGACCAAAGCAAAAATGTGGCAAAACACAACATGTGTTTGGTGTCAGCTGACATTTCCTATTTCTAGCATTTTGTAATGATGCATAAATTAATTTATTTATTTACATCACAGAAACTATTGGCCACTCCGGCTTCCTGCTGTCTCTTCTCAGTAACGAACAAGATTGGACCCAATAGAGCGACAGAAATCAGAACTATTTGAAACTTGGTTATAACCTTTCCCTAATTAGGGAATACAAGTCACATGACCAAACAGTTGGCCTGAAATGGTCACGCAAGCTATTCAAAACACAATGCAAATGGCCATTTCTTTCGAGGTCCTAACAGTTAAGTGATTTCAATAGATACTACTACATGAGAAATTACCGCAATTTGATTGGCTTAGAGCAGTGGTATTTCAGCTTAATTTGAAATACCTACGTGTGAAAATTACAAACCTTTTGTGGGTAGTAGTATAAACAAATAATAGCACGATTTGTACATGATATTTGGCATAAATACCACTCGTGATATTTCAAAATTGTCTCAAATTTCAATCGCCTAATGATCTGTGAAATTACGCATAACAATTTTGAAATATCACTTGTGGTATTTATACCAAATATCACTACAAATCATGCTATTACCTATACTAATTTAAGCTTACGTTATTAAGCATGCTTAGTTATTAGGTTATTAAATCTTACTATCTCTCCTGTGGTGATCTTGATCTTGATCTAGATCTAGACCTAGCAGTTCCACCAATGGGCGAATTCGAATGTCTAACAGACTTAAAAAGACAACACGATATACGTTAAAGCCTTATTGATTCTCTTTGGACCATGCAAGCTAAAGACAAATTTACAAAAGCTAGCTAAGTAACCAAATTTATAAGCTGTATGGACTCATATAAGCTTAAAATCACAATTGAAAAAGTCTTAAATAGGTGATCAACAAAACTGAATTATATCTAGAAGATATATAAAAAAGGAAAGGAACTATTGTCGTCGGACAACGGAAAAGAGATTTCTGAAATCTTTCAAGATTTAAGCGAACAACTCAAACTACAACATCTCCCATTTTCGACCTCTGCACAAGCCTTAAACAAGCTTACGTACCTGAACAACGCTTCGTATTCTGGTGTGTTCCACAGCCGCCATTACCCCTATTACTTATTGAAAGATTCTTAGAAGATCCTATACGAAATTACATTAAAAAACTACACATTATTCCACGTATTTTAAGTTGTAGTAGCTACTTTTCATCCAAGATTTGACGGTCAAAGCGCATCTGAAATGTAACCGCGCCAGATCACTTTCTCGGTCTAGCCTGGGCTCCACATTACAGAACTTCCAAAGTTCCCCTGGGGCGCGGAGGGGTGCATGGGGTAGCATGGGGTACTCCTGATGGTTGATCGAATGGGGGCATAAATCAAAACGTAAAAAATTTCTTGGGATTTCACCAAAACACCCCAAACAATCCCATGCCGAATTTCCGAGCCTTAAAAATTTCCAGAAAGCGTGAAAAATAACAACATTAGAAATCAAATCTTCAGATTGTTTTGTATAGCCAAAAATATCCCAACTTAAATCAAGCCGCCCCAAAAAAAAACCTTGCCAAATTTTCCCACCCCCCAAAATTCCCGGAATCGAAAATCAAATCAAACCCAAAAATAATTCTTCGATCATCCCTCTCGCTTGAAATCCAGAGTTAACCCCCTGTTCCCTAAAGATATCACTGTTCCTGAAAACTGAGGAGGAGGCCCGGGGGAGGAGGTGTGATTAAGAGTTAAGGTCTCTATAAAATCTACAACAGAAAAGTACAGGTCTCTCCTCCACAGAGGCTGCAGAGGCTACCCGCCAGGTATTCCAAACAAAAAATATATAAGTGTGCGATGGACAATGGGAAGAGACATCCGCCAGTTTTTATCCTTAAACAGTTCATTCTCTTGCCATGATTATATTGATATTGTTCCTGTGTAGTGATGCTCACATGTATAAGCAGCATGCAATAAATTCAGCCAAGAAGTGTGACCTAGGGAAGGGGGGTGGGGTGCTTATCAAATATTTTTTTCAGGCATTTAACATGTTGTACCCAAGCTAAAACTATATCGTATTCCCTCATGTTAAGGATATGATCAAAACGCCCATCAGAAAAAGAACACCACCAGAATTAGACATTCTCAAACTTCCTTTTTTTATTTTTATAGTTGCATTAACTCCCAGCTTATTTCTACCAGAAGTTTTTTAGACTTCTTTTTAATATGCAATATATTGCATAAAGTATATTTCTGTACTAGATAGAAATATCTAATTTAAGTAGCTATCACGACATGAAACTATACAGGGAATTATGACCATCATAGCTACAAAATAGCTTATTTATAATTTATCTGCCATATATAAGTGTAGCTTTTAATGTGAACCTGAGTGACACTAGCCCACAGAAATCTTCAATCTCAAGCCAGTAAATTATGCTTAATGCACACCAATTCTTTACACCTGAGGGGAAAATTAACATCTCTTGCAGCATTAATGATGACAAAATTTCATCATGACTTCAGTAAATTATTTTGAAGAATTCATCTAAATCTCCTACAGTTTTTATCTTCACCTCACAAGACAATGTCTCCACAGAAAATAGTTGGTCTGTGAACAGGAGCTCAAAGGCAGGAAAAGGTATAATTGTCACAAATGAAGTCACTTTGATCACAGATGTAGAGATGTGTTATTGTCAAGTTGTTAGACTGCTTTTAGACTGACTAAGACACAATTTGTGCAGTTCTAAATAACACGGTATAAAAAATATGTAAATATCTGCAATGTTTTAATAAATATTACAATACTATGAGGTAAGAATAAAAAATATTATCATGCAGCTCTCTGAGTATTCTATTATCTTGAGAAGAAAGAAGATGCAGTAAAGTTTATTTATTTGCTTGTTTTGCTGTGATTTCTGACCTTCCCAGATGTGAAATAAATGTAATCCATTCTTCTTGTACTAAAGAACAGACTATAGCAACTAGCAAAACAAGCATTTGTCTTCATTTGTCAACTATGGTTTTGAGGCAAATATAACCTGATAGTTGTGTCCAGAAGGTTTTGTTACTGTCTCCATGGCAACATCCACAAACCCTCCTTCTTTAAGTTTTTCTATATACAGCTCTGGACGCCAGTTGGGTCCATATTTTAAAAATCCTTTACGTGTACTTGTCAGTAATGCATCATAAAAAAGTCCAGTCAACATGATTCCTCTTGGTTTTAAGACCCTCTTCATCTCTGAAATGCCTTGTTCAAGACTTGGCCAAAAATAATAGCAATTTGTGTGGAACACACTGTTAAACAAGTCATCTTCATATGGAAGTTCCATAGCACTGCCCAAACGGATTTCTAGTTTCCCTCTTTTTATCGCTTCTTTAAAACGCCTCTGTGCGCTCTCAACCTGAAATTTTTTTTTCAAGGCAAAATAAACATAATCAAACCATCATAAACTCAAGCACTCGACATTATCAGGCAGGGAATGATCCAAAATAACTTACGAAACCTTGCAAAATGAATACTCTAAAAGACAACAACAACATTACAACAACAACAATGTATTTATTTGATAAACTATAACGTTTACAATTACTTTATGCCATGCAAATAGCTATAAATGCTAATCTTGGCAGGAAAAAACTTTAAATAATTTTATAGAAAAAAGGAAAAGAAAAGAAATACAAATAACATACAGAAAGAAACACCTCACATAAAAACAACATGTATTACCCATAAAGAGTTAGTCTCCCTTGCAGCCATTTTTAATGTTGTCGTGCAATGCTCCTCAAGGAGAGTTGCGTGACGACAGCTGTGAGGGAGATTAATAAAGACTCTGTGGTTGAAAAAAAAATGACATTAAAAAATAATGTAAGCTAATAAAATAGAAAAAGAAACTTTCCCTTTAAGTGATATCAAAAGTTTAAGAGGGCTGCCTGTATGGAGTTTACTGTTTTGTTACTGTGATTGGGCCATTCTAGATACTATAATTGAGTTTTCAATAAAAATAAAAAGCAAAACTACTAAAGTAAGGTTACAGGATGATGAATTTGCCATTAACCGGCAGAAGGAGCCTTTTGTGATCTCAGCTTGTACTTTTGAAGTCATGGGGTCTTATACTTTTTTAGTTTGTTATGTTAACTGTTACAGCAAGTTTTTTACTGTATATAAGCTGTTATTAACACTATAAATTTAGTGTTGGCTGATATGCTGACACCCCATCCAGGGAGGGGTATCTGAATATTGATGGGTTAAGGTGGGCTGCCGGCAGACAGAGGGGCAAAGGAACAGACAGATGGACGGATGGACGGAAGGATGGACCGAAAATTAGTTGACAGAAAGAAGTTGTTATTAAAAGACCCTCATCACAGTACTATGACCGAATTGTAAAGGTTAATTACAGAGCTGAATAAAATGATAGTAACTGCAATCTTATGATCGAGTGACTAAGGTTAATAACAACGAATTACAAATACAGACTTTGTTTTGCAATGTGAGACAGCGAAATGCCAGTTTTGTCTTAAATTTATGGAATATGAGTACTGCTATTAAACAGTAAATAAAATTTACAAATAAAAAATGTCCAGTTGGGTGCTCTCCAATATCTTCAAAAAAAAGGTGGAACATAGCTCTGCCCTGCACTGTTATCTTGTAGTATATCTTAAATTTTAATTCATCATGTTTATATTTAGATAGTTCTAAATATTTTAATTACGATTGACGGCTACTAGTTCCTCAGTTTTTTCTGTCATGTGCTACCCTCATTAAATAAAGTTGCTACTTACTTACTTTACTTACTAACTGCACGGATCTAATGCAGCAAACACCAATGATTAGCTATTGCAGAAGCGGCTTATGCGAACTTAACAAACACAAAACTAATACTTTATTATATGCATATCTTTATGTCAAAAGAGTGGATGGAGAGGGGGATAACCCTAATCTTGTACCCAGATCTCTTATAACCCCCTCTCTTCTCCCCAGTTCCCCCTCAATAAACAGTTCACTTGAATTCAATACTTACTATTTGCTCAGAAATGTCAATGCCATACACTTTACCAGAGGAGTGCTCCACTTTTTCCAGAGCAGCATTTAACCCAATACCAGGGCCAAACCCAATTTCAAGAACTTTGTGATCAGGCTGGATGTTCAAATGCTTTACAGTTTCATTTTCCAAACTTGCGTTCCCCTTTCCAAGAATAATCTGCAAGTCAGAAACACAAAGAATTAAAGCCTGTATTTTTCAAAAAAAAGATATTTGCCACTTCTGTACAGTCATCATGGCAGATTAACGATCGACCCTGTCAGGGTAAATTCCAACAGGGGACATGGCCTTGAGACAGGGGTCTAAGACAGCAGAAATGGCGACAAACAACACAAAGATTGGTTGAAACTGTGACAGCGACATAGCTTCCTCTTCAATATGCAAAACGACAGGTTTTGAAACTCAGACTAGGGAAGTTCACTTTCAATTTTCCACTTCTATTAACAGCTGGCAATGTTAATCCAGATACAAAATAATGTACCCAGATAATAACCCTTTACAATACTACCAATGGGACAAAGCCTTGCATAATAGCATTCAAACATAATTTTCTTTTCTACGGTTTCTAACATGATGTGAAGTTGCAGGTTCAAGAGATTAAACTAAAACCTCATCTGAGAAATAATTGTCAATGAACATTTTTCATAAAAATGCATCTGAACAAGATCATAAACTACCTTGGTTATTATTAAATAGTTAAGTGACAAAATACTAAGATTAAAACTTGCACACCATGATGAAGATCATCAAATGCACATCAGGCCTTCTGAAGAACGGTTATTTATTTTTTTATTCCTTATGGAATATGCGATCAGACGCAATTTTTGATCATTTGTGAGAAATCACACAATTGCATAAAATCAGAAGCCCTGATCCATCACGATACAACGCTAGATGGAGACATAATAGAGAGACTTTAGGGATCGAATTACGTTTTTGACAGTAAATGGCAGATTCAAGTTGGCTATATCTCAGATTAGGAAATGAACAGCTAAAACTGTCTGATATATATCTCTCAAACCATATCATGAAACACAGTCTAAAGCTTCTTATTCTTAAACTAAAATTAATGATTCAACACCATCCTTGTAAAAGTACATCACAGTAATCTTCTACAAAAGACAAGGAAATTACTGTAGTTAATGTTTGATCTTCAATGCAACGATTATAATTACAGCTTTAAATTCTGCTTGTAACAATTTTTTTAGATATATTTCCCGGGGGGTACTCCTGGGAATTTTTGGTGAGGGGTGTGCCGCCCAGTTCCTCATGTCCTGACCCGATTTCAGACCACAAAATGTACTTTTCCACACCCGTATTCAGACTAGACCTCTAAAATCCATACCCGTTTTCAGACCTGCCTTTAGGCAGAAATTATGTTGTCATTACTTGGCCGTTAAAGCGCAAACAAATTATTCAAATCCATTTTGAATTTGCATATATTTCTCTTTCTTTCTTACTCATTTGGAAATGAAACACTAAATACGTTCACACACTCTGTAGTTCCCTCGAAAACCATACCTCAACCTCGTCCCCAGGCTCGTTTTCAGACCAAAACGGCGCAAAAACCCTACCCGATGGGGCGGCACATACCTATATAGCTTATATAAGGGAGTACCCCTCACCCCCCACCCCCCCCTCCCCTTCACGACCTGTGCTACTAATATAGTTTGTAAAGGAGCGGTCATTTCAAAAGCGAACACTTTTTTTGCATCGATTGAAAACTTTTTCCGCATCGATTGAATTCCATATCAATATAAGTTGAAACTGTTTCCTGTCATCTGTTGCTTGCGAAGCATGGCAAGGATGGACATAGATTGAAACTTGAAAAAGTTTAATTCAAGATTAAAAGCTATTTTATGCCAACAAAAATCACCAACAAATTATTACAGTTGTTACCTGAGTTGTGTCGTTAGCTCTCGCCAACTATTTTTTCAGTATTTTCACTCAGCAGTAAGCGTACAAATGTCTGTGATATCTCCAACTTTTTAGAGATCGAAACTTACCCTGACTATATGTCCCACGAGACCTTTAGGTTCCCGAAGATTTCTTGCAATCAAATCAATAACTCTAGCTTTCAGGTCGGTCATTTGCCAAATGAGGGTTACTACTACAACTAAAGCAACTACAAAGTACCACATTGCGCCAACTATAATCTCGCAAGTTGTACTGACGACAACATCGACGGAATGGACGGGCATTTATGTCTCAAGACATTATTCGTAACGGTTACATGAAGTAGCGACCCAAATAAGCCAAATCAAAGCTCTACGAACGGGACGGTGTGGGGGACGGGGGAACGGACGGGGTGGGGGCTGGCTCTACTATTAGAAAAGAAGTGAAAATATCTTAAACTGAAATCTAATGACAGAACTTGAAAAAAAGCAATTTAATTGTACTGCAATTTAAACAAAACATTGGCCAAACTTCTTTTAATAGATAAGTAAGTGCTAGTGTCTTTTCCATAATAAATATTCCTTTATAAGCTACGCTCATTGTGTACACTGTACTACTGTACTGTTTCACTTATTAGGTTTGCGTATTTTTCCTTTTAATTAAGTTTGTTTCCTTTACGAATTTAGTTCTTTTTAATGTATATTATTTTCAGCCCGCTGTGAAAATAGAAAATAGTTTTGAATAGTTAAATGAACACGTATTTATAAATCTCCACTGTGTGTGTTTTTTTTAAACACACATATGCTGTTGTAAATAACACCTTTTACAAATTTTGTAAATACCTACACATTATAACACTATGAGGTGACAGTTCTCAGTTCCTAGGTCGAACCTTTCTCCACAGACTTGTGAAAGATACATGTTGTGGTGGAGTTTTTATAATTTGTTTGTTTTGCTGAGTTTTCAGTCCTGAATTTTCGTATGTAAAATAAATGCGATTCTCCTGATTCGATCAAAACCAACTTCTGTGATCTATGGTTTTGAGGCAAATATAACCTGATAGCTGTGGCCAGAAGGTTTTGTTACTGTCTCCATGGAAACATCCACAAACCCTCCTTCCTTAAGTTTTTCTATATACAGCTCTGGACGCCAGTTAGGTCCATATTTAAAAAATCCTTTACTTGAAAATGACTTTAGGCTGTCATGAACAAGCCCAGTCAACATGATTCCTCCTGGTTTTAAGACCCTCTTCATCTCTGAAATGCCTTGATCAAGACTTGGCCAAAAATAATAGCAATTTGTGTGGAACACACTGTTAAAAAAGTTTTCAGTAAAAGGAAGTTCCATAGCACTGCCCAAATGGATTTCTAGTTTCTGCCTTTCTATTGCCTCTTTAAAATGCGTTTGTGCATGATCAACCTGAAAGAAAAAGGCAAAATATGAACAGAATGAAAACATTATAAACTCTGACATCTATGTTATTAGACGATGAATGATCAATAACTAAAGCACCTGTAAAAATGACCAAAGCTTAATTTAAGTTTTCAAAGACAGAGACAATAATAAAAATTTATGGTACAGCATGCAGTTTTCAATTTACCCAATTAAAATTCAATTAAACAACAAGTCTGAGACAGAAGCAACATTAAAATCATAACAGTGAAGAAATGTAAAGCTAAAAAAAACAAAAACTAGTACCTCACATGACAAGAGGCAGTTTCTGAGGGTCAGGAGAATTCAAACAATTTTACATTTTTTAACAGTCACATTTTTGAAAAAAAAGAATCTGTTGGTCCATTTGAACAGACACGATTTCTTAGTACTGTATTTTTGTGTAGAGTAAATTTTTTCGGGAAAAAATGTTTGTGATAATATTTATTTGTGGGAACTTATTTTTGTGGATCGCTGGAAAAAATTGCAAAAATTAGAACCCGCAAAAATTTAATGCCACATGGTAATTTAACTTTGGTTAATTAATAATATCTGCAAAGCAGCATCAATTCCTTGTTCTGGGCCCCAAACAGACTCGACGAAGAGGGCGACATGGGGGTTTACGGTATTGCGGTATTGAGCTTTTTTTCAAGCAGTATTTCAGTAATTTGGATTTTAATGTGCGGTATTGCAGTATCATCCAGCCCTAAGGTACCGGTATGTGGTTTTTTATCCTTCTGGCTAACTGTATTCAGTATTAAAAAGAAGATCCTTCACGGTATTCCGGTACTGTTCATTTGGCCTCTCCCGTCTAATGTAGGTCAATATTATTTGGAAGACTTGAGACTTAAAGGTAAATGAATACACAATTTCTGACAGTTACTATATGATGAAATTGGTATGACATCCAATGACCTGGCTTTTCGATCGTTGTACCGATCAATTTGAGATCTTCTCACGTTTTCTTGCGAAGGTGGAAGTAGATTTCTAGTGTATACATGCTTGAGATAAAAAAACACGCGAGATGGATAACAACGTTAAGTAAGCATCACCGATCATTGAAATGCAGTATCGGTATTTCGTCCATTTTCAACATGGTATTTCTGTATTTGCCACTTTTTCGTATGGTATTGCGGTATAGGGTACCCCCAATGTCCCCCTCAACAAATTACCAAAAGAGCATTTCGAATTTCCTTTAATCTTGATTGGGAAATCCACAATGGCTCTTTTAACAGTCCAATCATGGTACACAGTTGAGAACCCATAACAAGGATTTTGGCGCTGTTTCACAGACAGACTAAACTCGAGTTAAGTATTGTCTGTGATGTAGGCTATTAAGTTCGAGTAGCCTCACTGTAATACTTACTATTAGCTCAGAGATGTCAATACCATACACTTTACCAGAACAATGCTCCAGGTTTTTCAGAGCAGCATTTAACCCAGCACCAGGACCAAACCCAACTTCAATAACTTTGTCATCGCGCTGGATATTCAAATGCTTTACAATTTCACGTTCCAAACCTGTATTCCTCTTCTCAAGAATAACCTGCAAGTTGTTTACACAACGACAAAGACTGTAATTCTTCAATTTATATTAAGAAGGAAATAAAATCATATTTTCCACTTCTGTAAAAAAAAAAAATGCCTTCATGAGAGTTTGGTACAATGCCGTTAGTCCATTACCGAGTTGCCATGAACCTCTGTTTCAAAGCAAGGCTAAGTGCAAAGTCTTATACAAATAAGACTTACATTTTTCACAAGAAAGGTTCTCACTTAGGGTGCGTTCCATTGGGAAATCTGAATTTAGATTTTAAAATCCGGATTTCGGATTTACAATTGAACGCGAAATCCAAAAAAAGGGATTTCAACGTTAAGATATCTGTTTTTGGGTTCCCTTTTTACCGTTTGATTGGGAAAACTGAAAATGGATTTGAAAAACTGTCCTTAAGAACAGCTGTCTTGTACGCACACACATAATTAACAAAAAGAAGACCCCTGTTCACAAGAATGGTTTTACAAATCCTTTTTCGGATTTCCCAATCAAATGAAAGAATTAGGAAATCCATAAAATGTGGATTTTCTTAATTGAAATCCACCCTGAGGACGGATTTCTCAGAGGTGAAATTTGTTTTCAGATCTTGCGTTTGAATGTAAAATGCAAAATCCGGATTTCCCAATCGAACCCAACCTTCACCTCATTTATTCTTGAAAGTGAAATTTTTTGGAACTAGGAATTAAAATGGTCTAATACATATGTGCACACCTACATAAAACTTCTTTACCTGGTTAAAAAGTCCTCATTCAACTTTCTACATCTATTAATTACTGGCAATGTTAACCCAGATTCAAAAATTATGTGTCTGAATAATATGAACCTTTACAATAATATGGGGGACAAATTAGTATAGGTAATAGCATGATTTGTAGTGATATTTGGCATAAATACCACGAGTGATATTTCAAAACTGTTACACGAAATTTCACGAGCCGTTAGGCGAGTGAAATTTGAGACAATTTTGAAATATCACGAGTGGTATTTATGCCAAATATCACATGCAACTCATGCTATTAATTGTTTATACTACTAGCCGCAAAAAGTTTGTAATTTTCACATGTGGGTATTTCAAATTAAGCTGAAATACAACTGCTCTAAGCCAATCAAATTGCAGAAATTTCTCATGTAGTAGTATAAAAGCCTTAACAGCATACAACCATTTCTAGTGTACAGGGTTTCTAATATGATGCGAAAGTGCGGGTTCACTCATTTAAATGGCATCTCTGATTACATAATCCTTAAGAAACGGTACAAATAATAGAAATGCATCTGAAGATTAAAGATATACATGTAAATAGACTTTATAATATAGCAGAAATATAGGTGAGTTATATTGGTCACATTCTATCCAACATTTTGAGAAACCACAATTTTGTGAGTGAAATTTGATTTAAACAGAAACAAACCTATTTTAAAATTACTGAAGGGAAAATTTCGGATGATAAATTTAATATTGCATAATATTGAAAAAAGGCCTCACGTGATAAGCTTAGTTTACATGTCCAGAGATTTTCTTTCCTTTTGTTAGCGTAAATAATCTCTATTATCTTTTAACAGTACTGATGGTTAAGTCTTAGCTTGATCTCAATCCTTTTGCTAAGCTGCATGAACAAAGCTTTTTAAGTTGTTGTAAAAAATTTTTGGTGAGTTAAGTCAGGTTAGAACCTGTAAGTATGGTCCTGTTCTCAGAATTTTTACTCAGCAGTACAATTTTCTGCGAATATTTTCATTATAAGGAACTTTTAAGAGAAACTTACCCTAATGAAATGTCCCCCAAGACCTTTAGGTTCCCGAAGATTTCTCGCAATCAAATCGACAACTCTACTTTTCAGGGAAGCCATTTTCCAAAAGACATCTGAACACTTCATGTAAGCTCTACTAAATGAGAGCTTCGCTGTCTTTCTCTTGTTGAACATATTCGTCCGCGAGGAAAGAAGTGAAAAAACCTCGAGTAAATTCTAATGACAGAGGGAAATACAAGCCAAAATTCATGATACAAAACAGAAACACAAGCCTAAACACAACTGAGCCAGCCCAAGCCGATGACCCACGAACCCATACCCCCATCTAAAATACATGTTTGATGTGTGGCACGTGGCACGTGGCACGTGCACGCACTCGTTCAGTCATTTCACTCCAAATTAGATAAATTTTGTAAACAAACCCTAGAAAGAATGTTCAGCTCTAGCTAGTTAATCGACCTATTGAAAACACAACCAATGTTTATTTTTTTATATTCTTTGGTTAATTTACAATGCAATGAATTACTTTAATTCGCGTTGTCTTCAAAAGTAACTATATCCACATTATGGGTGGCTCCTCCCACTGGTATGCATGCTTTAGAGGGCTGAAGCCACGCGCGGGGACCCGCGGAAACCACGCACTTTCCTCAGAGCCACGCCCGGCGAGTGAAAAAATTAAAATTATGCTCTCGATCTACTGTGATTCAAAAGAAAAATAAGAGACTGCTCGCAGTCTAGCAAGTCCGGCTCTGGCACCCAGGGTAAATGGTGCCGGGCTTCATAAATCCTACACCAACAGATAGACAATTTAAAATTGTCCAAAGTCCCCTTTGAAATATTCTTATCTGTACGAAATAACGGTATCAAGCAGAAAATAAAAGTAGATGTCACTGGTTCTTGTCATGTCAGTCTTAAAGAGGACTAAAAGTTGAAAGGTGTACAACTAGCGGCTGAGCGAGGCCCATTTCCGTGGTGAAGGAGGCGAAGAAAAGCCGCCACCGCCAAGATGAGGGGGACACTTGTTTATTGCTCAATGTCCCAAGATAGCGAGCCAGTCAGATTGTCAAAAGATTGCTTAAAACACCAAGTTTGCCAGGTTTCAAACTTTAATGCGCAACAACTCCCAACAACACGCAACACAACATGCAACAGGGTGTGCAAACGTACGCAGAGACGTAACATCCAACAATTTTGCGTCAATTTGCACGGGGCTTCCGTCCCCCGAGAATTAAAACGAATAATTCTTTGAGCATTTCTTAATACATAATACCGTAAATCAGTGATTAACTGAGGCAGGGGCGGATCTAGGGGGAGGGTGCAGGGGGTGCGCACCCCTCCCCCCATCCGAGATGACCTGCGGTTTTCTAATACAACTGGTATTCTGCAAAAAAAAAAAAAACTTTGTGGTTTATTGGTGTTGAAGTAGAGAAAGAGACGAGTGCACCCCCTCCTAAAAAAAATCCTGGATCCGCCCCTGTGAGGTATAGGAAAACTCGCTTTACTGAGTGCAAAAAGCGTTCTTTGGACCTCCGAATTACCTTCGCTATCTCGTGTGATTCAGCAACACCTTGGGAATTGCATGTGATGCTTCGTTCACCTACTACATGGCAGCGCCAATTGATAAATGCTCAACTTGTCTTCGGTCAAAAACCTACTGGTAGTTTATCTGCTCGGGGTCGTGACAATTTCAACTTTACTAAAACTTCTCTTCGTTGAATTTTTATGGTAGGTGCAATGTATATTTTCCTCAGTCGACTAAGCATTGCGTTTTTTTCTTGTTTAACTTGATACCAGACAATAAAACCTATTGTTGTCCCATTTTTCTTCGGTTTTGGTTTTAGAGATCCATAGCTAGCGTTTTTGTCCCTTCTTTTATTTTGCTCGCAGGGTAAATTCCGTCTTTCAAGACCGGGGGTTGTCCTTACTTTAATCTCCACTCAAAAGATGAGAGGGGCGAAAAGATAAACATGCCCATTGCTTTTAACCATTTAGTGTGCTCTTTTTTATCCCTTTTACACTCAGTTTTGGAAAGTGTATCTCCTTAAAGAAAAAATACGCTGATCATTGCTGATATTGAATTTAATTTTTACGTAAATAGCATGATGAAGCTTCTGTTTGCGATATCACTGATGTCTGTTTGCCTGTTGCTGGTCATGGCTCGCTTTGTTCGCTTTGTTCATCGTCAAGAAACAATTGAGGAAGACAGCGTAAGATATGATCTGGGACACTCTTCTCCTTTAAAAATGCAAATGCAACAAAAATGTCTTCAGGATGAAGAGAGGTGTATTGCTTTTTGGGAATGCTGTAGTTTCTATTGTAAGAATTGGTTTTGTGCTTCACGGGTGTCTGTGCACCCAAAGACAATAATCCCGTAACATCAGGCAAAGCAGTAGGAAAATCGTGAGATCGAGAGAATATGCTGTGCTCAAAGGCCTCAAATGTTCAAATGAACAGTATAGTATACTATGACTCAGAATTGTGCTAAGGTAACTTAGGTATGATACTATTGATGTGTGAAATATGAACCTTCCATTTGTACAAATTCTGCCATATATTACAATAATAATCTCGTCTTAAGTGGTTGATTATTCAAATTATTATACATTGTACTCACTATCTGTTTTCTCACTGGCTAAGAGCCTATACAGATTAGTTATATATTCTGCTAGCAGATAACTAACTTATCTGTAGGTTGCGCGAGCAATGCATTATCTCTAATAACACTATCAATTCAGGTTCCTTCAAGATTGCGACCGTGTGTTTGTCGTCGTTATTTTCCTCAAAACAATGTATAATAAAACGATTATTAGATTCAGTTTTTGTGATATCCTAAATAATCAAGGTCTCGGTAAGTGTTATCAGCCTCGGCCTTCGGCTCGGCTGATAACACTTACCTCGACGATCTTGCCTTATTCCGGATACCACGAAAACCTCAGCCAATAATTGTTTATAAAAGCCCTCTGTTTTTTAGATGATATTTAGGATCAGTATAGGCTTCTGAGGTACTGCCCACCTACCCCTCCCCTAAGCCAACATTTTGCTCTTAGTGAGAAGTAAGTGTTAATGCTAGATCAGGGGAGGGGTAGGTGGGCAGTTCCCAGGGACCTAAAGTGATCCGACATTTACATGAAAATCACGGCATAGGTAATCACAGCGATCAAACTGAAGAGGAAGAAAAACACATTGTCCAGCTTGATGGACACTTTCTGCCAGGTAAGCTCCTCAACTTTTTCCTCTGATCTCTTGTCTACCTTTTTGCTTCCTTCTAGGTGTTCCAAGTTTCGAATCACCTTGTGACTACTACCAAGAGACTCGACACCAGGCAGATGCGTCCCATTTGCGCTGGAAACATCTTGAATCTGCGCGTCTCGTTTTCGATTCTTTCTGTGGAAGAAGCGGAAAAGGCGTTGCAACCATTTCGGTGGATGGTCTTCCATGAAGAACAGCTTGAGCACGAGGATATTAGACAAGAGTACCATACTCATAATCACCATTGTCGCCATCAAGTTTATTCCAAGTTTAGGGACAAAACTCGAAGTCTCCGGGAGGAGAGATGACATCAGCAGCAAGAACACTATCATGGCCAAAAGAATTGTTGTGACAAAGCCAATTCTTTCCCCACTTTCCACTGGAATGAGAAAGCTTGTAAGATTGAGAAATAAGAGTATAATACAAGGCCCGACCAGATAGAACAAGTAGTACAAAGGCCTTCTTGCTATTTTCAAGGTGTAGACGATCTCGCTGAAATTAGTATGACAGCAGTTTTCATGGTCGGTTGTCGCAATACTAATTTGGATGTCTTGTAAATCCCAGTTACCATTTGATAAAAACCGATCTGTGAAAGAGTTAAGTTAAGTTCTCAATAAGCACAGTGTTTTGATTCGCTGGACAACGTAACCAACTTAAAGCTTCCTGCCCTCACTAAAAACTGTCGCTAAAAGTGACTTCGCGTTCTTTGAAACTAACTTCTGAGTGCAGTTGTTTTTACTCGCTCAATTTGTCTAAGGTGAACTCTCTTGGAGATGAATATCCAAGTTTAAGAGAAAGAAAAAGTCGCTGTATGTTTACGCTATCAATACAACGTGAAATAAGGCAGTTTCACGCTGTAGTCGAGGGGTGTGCAGTAAAAGAAATGTGCAAAAAGCTTGATGCATGTGCCATAGTCTGCGCCATATCGCCACTTTAGAACCGAGGGGAAACTGGGCCTGGTTAAATTTCTCAAAGACCTCTTGGGGTGCTTTCCAATTCAACGAAAACTTTCGAAAATTTGGAAGCGGCGGTACTTGGTACAGAATTTTACCGGAAAAGTTTCCAGATATTCCGGAAATTGTTGAATTTCCGAAAAGGGGAACCATTTAACCGAAAATTTTTGAAATTCCGGGAGCAAAGTTGAATGGAAAGAAAACTTCCTGGAAAAATTTCTCGAAAATCTGGGTATACCTCGGGAGGTTGTCCTATTTTGGGGTTTCATTTGTTGCTGGAAGTAGCCCGCTAAGCGCAGGCGTATTTTTTCGGAAGGAGACAAGCGACGACCGGAAATACGTCTGCGCTTCGCAGGCTATGCTGGAAATTGACGAAAATTCAAACCGGAAGTTTTGGCTGAATGGAAAGCGCCCTAGGCTATTATCCGGGACAGGGAAAAAAAATTGGCCAATGGCTGACCAGCGCGTTCCTAGAAACTATCCCAGAAACACTTGCGAGACGCATCTAGGCTCCAGTTCCCGACTCGCTTTTTAAAGTCAGGTGGCGAATAGACCTTTTTACCGATACGGCGGTCATGTTGAATTAATTCGATTTAAAGAGTATTATAGGATGCCCAGGGGGCATGAGCACATTTCGTTCGTATTTTCGATCGCTTTTGGGGACATTTTTTCTTAAAGGTTTCTTAGAATAAGATTGTAATGGGAAAATAGATCCTTGTGCCATATTTCTGATACTAAACTAGAAAAAGGCGATCATTATTACGTCAAAACACGGCACAAGGATCTTTTTTTCCCATTACAATCTTATTCTAAGAAAACCTAAAGAAAAAATGTCCCGAAAAGCGCTCGAAAATACAAACGAAATGTGCTTATGCGCCCTGGACATCCTATAATACTCCTTAAATCGAATTAATTCAATATGGCCGCCGTATCGGTAAAAAGGTCTATTTTAAAACTCTTTCAAAGTCGCCAACTTAAGTTATTTGCGTTCAAAGTAAAATTTGGTAAAATTGTGGTAAAATTTGTCCCGAAATTGCATTTACCATTTGTACAAAACAGTTCCATTTAATGAAAAACGGCCACGAAGGCCTGAAATTGATGGTTTTGAAGAAATGGAACAAGGGTTTCCGTTTGGAACATTTCTTCTGGAAAAACAAGACTATCTTTTCAATGTTCCGTTGCTCCAGGTGGAAATTTTTCGTTGGAGCGACCCAAAAAGTCGCCGATTCTGTTTACTTTACAACCAGATTTTCCAGAAATATTTGTGCAAAAAAGCTGGAGAGTACATTAAAACAGGGCAAGCTTACCGCTTAACATTTCTTCATAGCGCCGAGCTGGCGGTTGTTGGAGGGTCATCCTGTCAGTTCCATATGTATAGGAGCCGAACATAAATACACAGGTTTGGTTGTCAAAGGGCCAGTCTTCGAGATTTAGTTGGCAGGAAGCTGTCAAAGTGGTCATACCGTTAAGAATGCACAATCCAGTGCTGAGTACTTTTACTTCTGTGCCAAAGCCTATTTTCCCTTTTGCTGAATCGTCATCTTCAGCGCTATAGGAAAAAAATCATTTGCAGAAGAGAACATCGTTCAGTACAATTGTTTAGGTTAGGTTTCTGTTAGAGGGGAGGAGAAGCAGAGAAAGAGAGAAGGAGTAATTACGTCACGTTGCCATGGTAGCAAAATCTCTGGATCTCGACAACCTGTAGTCTTGCAATATGACAGAAAAAAAAGCCGAAAAATATTGACACGTATCACTATCCTGTGTATGATTGCATCCAGGGACAAAACGGTAGCCCATAATTTTTTTTTAAATGGCCGTCTCTGTCAAGAAAGATTGTTGAGAACCAGAAATTTGCTACCATGGTAACGCTACGCCACACTTCTCTCTATTGGGGTACGTTTTGGTACGTCGTACACAACGTGCATGCTAACGTTGGTCAGTTATGTTTAAAAATTCATTCTACACTACTTACTTATTTAAAAGCGAAATATCTGGTGTCCAGACCTCATCAGGCCAAAAGTGTATAGTATTTTCGTTTCCAAATTCGCTGGCGTTCCACTGCAAGAATTCATTTGTCCAAGTCTGAAAAAAAATGTAGTAGCAGTGTAAAAATTGAGGATTATAATGACTCACTAATCTTACTGAATTAGGGGCTAAAATGAATTCTGTTGTTGGTTGAACTATTCAGCAACCTTGCCAGTTGCCAGTTCGGGATAAAATCGAAAAATCTACCCTTTTGCCCACACACCTTAAAATGCTTGTTACCCACCCCCCCTCCCCCACCCCCAAAAAAAAAAAACTGAATGAACACCAAAATAAACAAATTAATCTCGGAGTTGTCGGGAAGAAGTTTGAAATTTCAAACTAGACGACTGATCGGCGCATAACTTACGATGAATTATGGTAAGTGTAATACTCGGCAAAATGCGACTACTGAGAAGAAATATGCCGGTTACCTGTGACATCCACGCATCTACAGCAATGGTCTCTGCAATGGTGTCCTGTGCAAACAAACCAGAAGTAACAACAATAAACGACAAGTCTGGACACTGCAGATTGTCAAGACATTTTTACTGTATTAGAGCGATTTTCGTATGACCTTGAAAAATGAATTTGGTAAGTGTTCGTTACTTGTTCAGTATCAGCCAATGGATGAAAAGATCAAAACATGGACTCTTAGTTTTCCTGCCAAAGAAAACACTAATATAGAAAGGGCATTGTTCGATTGGCCCTTTCGTTTTACAGTATGACGTCAAAGCTAAGTATCCATTGATTTCTAGAAAGTTATCGGGCATGAAATTTTTTCACCCGGGCGTTCGCTGAACCAACCATAAGACATGCGCGTTTGTATTCGTTCGATAAACCAATCAAATCACTCTATTCCCGTCCGTTGCTGTTTATGTTTTGTTCGCACGTTTTCAATTCAAAGTCATAAGAAAATCGCTCTATTAGAGATCTTTCAATATAGAAATTCACATGACCTTTACGTTTTGATGTACCCCAGTGTTCAGATTAGGCCATGTCCACGCGAATCTGAAGATTTCTAGTTTGTAAAATAACTCAATTCTGTATGCAAAACAAATCAGGGTCGGAAAATAGTGTCTTCTGCATGTCTTAACAAACAAGATAGGGAAATGAGCAATTTCGGTTTTAAACAAGGTCGAGGTTTGAAGGCCTCGGTGGCACAGCTCTCTACCCAGACTTCCGTTGAGTGCCCCGCCGGGGGTTTCGACAATTCTGATTCCGATTTCGCTTTCTTTGCTGCGTGATACTTACTACCTTGAGTAGCTTGACAATTCTCAATTTAAAGCGCACTTCCATTTTTTTGCCTGTAACAGGTAAAACTATTTTGTCGTAATTTTCCAGAAGTTTGGCCCTGATCAGATGCTCGGAAGAACCATTAGAAGAACCTGAGACACCTTCAAGAAACAAAAGATATAAAATGTGAAGGAACTTTTTAAGGAAAAGTAGTCATGTCCTTCAGAAAAGCTTGATTCTCTTGACTAAACAAAGAAAATATAAAATCATTAAACATTGTACCAGCCCGCATCGCAGACGTAATTTAACCCCGGTTTTACAACTAAATGACGTCTGCGAAGTAGCGCCGACGCCTATTTTTGTTTCGTAAACGGTTGTTGCCACCATTGGTATTTAAAAATTATTCCTCGAGTCCGAATCGGCTCTGAGTCAATAGCCAATGAGGCCGGAGGCCGAATGGGCTATTGACTCAGAGGCCATGCATGAGGGCCTGTTTTGTAAATCTAACTAGTTGGTCAAAAATATCGAGACAAAACAACTTTAGCTAGCAAAAAGCGATTCAGCCGCCATTGTTTTGGTTTTCAAAGCAGGCGCTTTTCGCTGCTAGCGGGCTATAACAAAAAGCCTAGTAGTGGCTCAACCGATCAGAACGCAGCACTGATAATAGACCGCTAGTTGGATTTTACTAAAGTAATATATTCCCAGGATTAAGTAACAATAAGGGAAATAATACGTTTTGGAATAGTCGTAGAAAGAACTACGTACTTTGAAGCCCAAGTTGAAATTGATGTATCAGTTAAGTGGGTGGGTGGGTGTTTTAATATAATCACTCTCAATAACAGGTCAAAACTTTTCCAAATGGCAGCGACCGTTTACGAAAAGGAAATTTGCAGCGCCAATATCCTCAGTTGTTCCGGGCCCGCAAAGGATCCAAAGATCGGTGAGCATCTCTAATGTCATTTCACAGACTCATCTTACAAGCCAATTATGGCGCCTGCTCACATCCTGGAACACAACTAGGGGCCCAGAATAAGAATTTAGGCATTTGTTCGTCTGCGGCACAGGCAGGTACTCACCATCTGTCTTCTCCTTGGTCAGTTATATACAAGTAGATAACCGACCCGTAGATTGCGCGCGTAGTGCATGATTTCTAAGAGCAATGTCAGACTGTGTTCCGTGCGACCTGCCTCGTACCCAGAAGTCTCTCTCTCGACGAAAATTTGCGCGCAAAGGAAAAGGGAAGGAGAAAACGGGCCCTCTCACTTTTTTATGGTCCCTTGCGTTTCGTCTACACTCACTTGTGTCTCTCGTGTTTCAAGCTAGCTGTGCGAAACACGAAGCGCCTGAGCAGTTGGCTGCCGTACGACGGTGTTTCTTCAAAATACTGTCTTATAGAACAATTATTAAATTCGATTTTCTGTTAATTCCGGAATAATCAAGGACTCGGTGGGTATTATTAGCCTCGGCCTTCGAATCGGCTGATAAAACTTACCTCAGTCGTCCATGATGTTTTCGGATATCACAAAAACCTTACCTATCTTATAGTTACCAAAAATTTTAATGAACAAAAACTCTGAAGATGTCAAGGATGGAAGACATTGAGGAACACTAAAACAAGTTGTAACGGATAGATTTGAAAAATTTTCGCTGTTTTTGGTAACGCTCTTGAAAAATATCGAGACATTTATCGACACGGTTGATTTTCTTAAAGCTGCAAGGTTGTCACTTAGATTGGCAAAAGAAAACAAGAATTGCTTAAACGCGCTGCCTTTGATTCCCTATGGAGTAGTGATTGTCTGTCTGGAATACAAGCATGACAGCCAAGCTCCTCTACGTTCCATCTTGTTTCTTTGTCGGGGCAAAGTTTTTGGAGGATCGATATATCGGTGACGTCACGGGTCATGATTGGACCCACGTTAGGATTGAGTCCGAGCCGAGCCGAGATCGAGAACGCCAGGGGACTAGGCTCAGAATGTTCAGGACCTGGGGCCCGTTTCTCGAAAGTCCCGGTAACTTAACGGGCTCGAAATGAAATATTCAAATCGAAATATAAGGAATAAGAGCGCGGGTCCTGGCTAGCAAACTACTCCATTTTGTTTCATTGACTGACAGTTTTATCGTGTTAGATGCAAAACTATTGAAACCTCGATCTTTAATGTAAAAGGAGACAGCTTACCGGGCCCGTTAATTATTGGGACTTTCGAGAACCGAGCCCCAGCAAACGATATCACCCTTACTTTGTCGACAAATGACGACCTTCGGGAAAAAACAACATAATGATCACAGTACGTTTACAGAGCGTTACAATTCCTAACAAATTTTTTGCTCATCCTTACATAATAGTCCAATGACACCTCGAGGCGAAGCTGAGAGTTTTTTTGAACGGCATAAAAATCTCTGATATATATCAACTCATTCTTGCACTAATACTTAGATTTAAGGTTGCTTTGGTCTTAAAAATTGGACGTAAAGTTTATCTGTGTCTTTATCAAATTTAAAGACACTCATTAAACATTTTTTTTTTTGTTTTTCTTAACGAATTTTTAATGAGTTTTTAAAGTTTCAACACGTTAGAAAATTTTAAATGTTTTAAGTCTTTTATTCAAAACTGTCAAGGAAACTTTTCCACGACTTTATTTTGCACAAACTCGTTTATAGGGAATTATTGCTGACAGCAAGTTTGAACATACTTGGACGGTTCTATGTACTAACTAGTTTCTATGGTAATATTTGTTTAAATCTCTTTGCATTCCCAGTAATTTGATCGTGATAACATAACAACAGAAAAACAAACATCGTTTGAGCAACGTGACTGTAAATACTAAATATAAATGAGTGCTGTTTCAGAGTTTACTCAATAAGCCTTAAAGGCTCAAGAAATCCTCAACAAAGCAACTTTAGTGAGTTCAGTTTAGTTTGTTCTACTCCGAGTACGACCTAGACCAGTCGACACGAGCTTATAACTTTGAACGAGCTACGTTAAGGATATTTCATTATTTAGTGATTGAACATGATGGTAAGACTTGGGGGATATGAATGTCCTTGACGCTAGTGATTGCCCAAAACACACGAAGTTAGTTTGAAAATTATTCACTGTCCAAAGTTAACACTTGAACAGCAGTTTGAAACTTTTCTCTCCGGTTTTCTGTTTTATTTTAAGTTAATCTCACCAGGCACGTGCGCAAATCAGTAAAAAAAGACCGAAATATTTTTGTTCCGGCCAAGAAAACAGCATTAGCTCAAAAAGATGCCGAACTTACGTCTCAACTAGCAGACCATATCATATAGGATTTCCTATCATGACGAGGAAACTGCTAAACTTTAGTTAGAGATAATCAGGGATAATTGACTCATGGCCGTAAAAATTGCTTAATTCATGACTTTGCATCGACGCTGTGTTACTCTTGTTTTGAAAAAAAAAAAAAAGATTAAGGCGTTTCGTTAACTAACTAAACACGTAAATCTTTTTATCTCAACGCATGACATTGTGTTAAAAAGAAACTCAATTTAAAGCTCTTAGTGATCTCAAATTAAATATCGTTCTGCTTCTCCTTTGACTTTTAATGGAAGATTAACGCTTCAGTAACTGCATAGATACAACCAAAAAAAAGAAGAAATAGTCTTCTAATATACTTACTGTGAAATAATCCATGCAAGTATAGAATCAGCGCAAGGTAATACATTTTACCACACCCAGGAATTTCTGGATCTTATTAACTCTTAGCTGAAGGTTAGCTAAAAATGTTTTGGCGCTGATATGATGCAAGAGCTAAAGATGATTTTAACCCTTGTTTCGAAGACTTTATATGTATGTGCGAGGCTCCCAATGGCGCTTTTGTTTTCCAGTTGTAAGAAACTTTAACATTTAATACGCTCATTAACCAAACAGATCAAACCGGCTATTTTTGACCAATAAGAGCTGGACCTCAAGACAATAGTCAGGTTACTAATCACGTGACTTGAGAATGGTTCTTAGCGATACGAGTTTCCTTGAACATCTCTGATGGCCGTTAAAATTGTAAACCTAGCCAAAAAATTATATTCTCCAGTTGAACTTCGAGTTTCTGACGGTGTTTGGACTCAGGTGGTTAAATATAGTAACTATATATAGGAATTTTCAGTTGTGTTTAAATTAGTATGCTTCTTAACCCTTTCACTACCAAATGTGGCCAAAGGCAAATTCCTACCAAATTTCCAAATTTCATTTTCTAAAATTTTGAGGAAACAAATAGTATCTTGTGAAAGTACAGGCAGAGAGCTTTCATTTGAATGATCACATCATAAGATTTCGTCCACTGACTCAAAAGTTAGAGTCACCTTACAAAACTCCATCAAACACTCTGGCAGTGAAAGGGTTAACTCGAATGTTTATCTCATTTTCTCTGCCGTATACCTAAGTGTTTTGTCAACAGTCACGCACTTGCTCTTAGCCCCGATCGGCCTGTTTGTTTTTCTGGTCGTCATTGACTTTATGAAATTAGATGAGCATTGTTGTCTCATGTAAAATTTACAAGCTGCATAATATTTTATTTTACTAAAATGAATGTAACTTCTTTCCTCAGTGGGGGCACTATAATTAGAGTTTTTTCTCAACACTGTAGGTAATTGAATGCATTCGCTGCATACTTCTCCCTGGAAATAGAGAGTCATCAAAGTTTTTTTAAACTTCTTGATATTCTTAAATTTGATAACATTGTTAAAGTGACTACATGCGTATGTTGCAGTTAAATTTTTATCTCAGGTAATTGTTTTTGGGCATGGTAATGTTGGTTAATGAAGTTGAAACAAAAACAAAAGAAAAACAAAAATTACCGTAAATGAAAAATTAACTACAACATAAATAAAAAATGCTTTTTGACTATGAAACCCCATAAATGACGAAATCTATGAAAGGTTAACGAGATGAAGATGTCCCCCATGTAACTGACTCTGGGCTGATTATAAATAATTCAAGACTGTAAACTATTAAAGACAGCTATAGTAGTATTAAACTGTTAAAATAATCCTTAATAAATAATCAATAAATACAGCGCAAACAACAACAACAACAACGAGGAAGAGATTTAATAATTCAAGTATTCTAATTTTACACTTCAAACTTTGCGACCTTTCTCGCTAACTTTTTTGATCAAAATCTACTGACTGATTATTTGAAAGGTCCATAAACACTCGAAAGAGTTCACTGGCGATATCCTCAAAGTTGGCAAAAAAGCCCTTTCGTGCATGGAACAACATACCCACCAATTGCACGATGGCGTCATTTTACTAACTTCGACCAGAATCTCATTCATTTTTCCATTCGTATTTTAATTTGATAATCCCAGCGAGGCTAGGTTAAATAACACAAGCTCTAGCCTGAAATTCATCGGATTGCTTCGAGTCGTTTTCTCCCCCAACTGAGGGAGTAATAACGACTCGAAGTAATCGGATGAAATTCAGGCTACACAAGCCGTAGTTTGCACCAAAAAGCAAACCCTGTAGGATTTTGGTCGTAGTAGTAAAATGAAGTCATCATACAGGAAAACCTGGGTTTCTGGCATGTTCAAAATTGAAATCTGAACGACCAAGCAGTCAAGTACTTGTACAAAAAGATATAAGAATTTTCTCAGTTTTTGTTTGGTTTAACTAAGTAAATTAGAGCGGTTTTCACTTGACTGTCGAAAGGGATTGGTTTTGGTTTTGGTTTTGGTTTTACTACGCCCTTTGGTTGGCTAGTGTATTTACTTTGGTTTTGGTTTTACGACAGTCAAGTGAAAACCGCTCTATTTGACTTATTTGAGTTATTCCCCACTAGCGCTCGGCCCTATAACAACAAAGTAAGTGCGTAACCTTGCCGAGTATAATGTGTTCTACAGTTTTACATGTAGAGGTGTTTTTCAAAGTGGTATGTGCTTTATTAGGAACCCTTTGGCTCTATGAGTAGATCACTAGGTACGAAATTACAACAATTAGAACGTAGAGGCCAAAAAAAACCTTATCCAACTTGATTGACAATTTCTTCCAGGTAAGCACCTCCCCTTTTTCCTCTGATCCTTTGAGTTGCTTGTCACTCCTATCTGGGACCTCTGATGCTTGGATCGTGTGAATGTTTGCAGGAGACTCAACACTTGGCAAATACTGCCCATTTGCGCTGGAGACATCTTGAATCTGCACGACTCGTTTTTCATTCTTTTTGCGGAAGAAGCGAAAAGGGTTCTGAAGCCATTCAGGTGGGTTCCCTTCCATGAAAAACAGCTTGAGTATGAGAATATTAGAAAGGAGTACCATGCACATGATTACCAATGTGTTAAGCATGCTAAACCCAAGCTTAGGAATCCCACTCGAAGTCTCCGGAAGGAGAGATGACATAAGCAAGAGGAACACCGTCATAGCCAACAGAATTGTAGTGACAAATCCAATCCTCTCTCCGCTCTCAACCGGAATGAGAAAACTTGTGAGGTTGAGAAATAAGAGCAGCCCAGAGGGCCCGACCAGATAGAACAAGAAATACAAAGGCTTTCTGGTTATTTTGATGGTGTAAACCATGATGCTGAAGTCAATCTCACAACACTCGTCATGGCTAGTTTCCTCAGAAGTGACGATCACATCGTCAATTTCCCAGTCTCCACTTTTTATAAATCGATCTGGAAATGAATGAGGGAGTAATCTTACAACTCAGAAGCATGCTAATAACGTAGCCTCGTGTCCTCAAATATTTTTATATTAATGCTGATTGATTGATAGACTTTCAAAAAAAGTCCTTCGTCAGATTGATCTCTCGCGACTTCGTGGCTCGCTCGCTTAGAATTCGAAACTCTTGAGGTATACTTGTGGCAGGAAAGACTATTTGATTGACTGCCGATGGAAGGAATTGTATTTGTCGAACTTAGTTTAGGTGACTGGCCATTTAACCACTGTGTGGCTAAATTATTGGCTAGTTAAAAGTTTGTCTGACGGTCTGTCTGCCCAAAAGTCGCTCTGTGTCTATCTGTCTGTCTGACTTCACTGAATCTGAAAAATTTTATTAACTAAGCTCCTAGGCTACGAGCAGCTCCTTTCCAGTCGAATCGAAGACTGGAGAGACGAAGGAACGAGAGAATTAAGAATAGGACAGAGGAGGAAGGTCAAGGGTTTGTGATCTCCTTTATAACTTTCGCCTATAAATTTCTTGCAGCTTTATGCCGCATCTCGCAGAGAATTGAGTTGGAGTAAAAGGCTTTAACACTTAGAGGAGACTACAGAACAGCCTGTATTTTTAAAGAGAAAGGCGAAAGTTATTTACTTTGGCAGTCATTTGTCTGCTGCCAAACATGACAAGTTTTGTTTTACCTGGGTTACGTAAGTTTTCTCTTTTAATATGCCTTGCGCTACTAAATTTTTACAGCTAAGATTATTTCTCTTATAGAGAGACGATTTGCCCAAAAAGTATTCAAACTATGACTCAAAAGTACAAAAAGTACACCTTCGGTTGACGAGCGTCGCTCAAAAACGTCGCTGTTTACATTCCCTTGGTATTGCTTTTTGGAAAACTTACCACTAAGGTCAGCCCCTAGGCCTTTGCCTCTCTTTGGTGCTTGCTTTATAATCATTCTGTCTTTGCCAGACGTAAAAGAACCGAATGACACGTTACATGTTTGGTTATCAAAGGGCCATTGTGTGAGCTGCAGTTTACAAGTGGCCTTTATGATGACCGGTCCTCTAAGAAGGCAACCTCCAGTAGACTGCACGCTTATTTCTCTTCCATAGGGTGTTCCTTCTTCATCAGATTCATCATCTCCGCTAGAACACCCAACAAAACAAGTTGCGTCGTTTAGCGAAGTACAAATTGTTTCATATGTCGTACAATAGAAAAAAAAAAGACCATTGTTGCTTTTAAAAAACACAACTTAGGGATTTCAAATGATAAATGAATAATATGACAAGACATCTGAGACAAACAGACTTCTATCAAGGTTTTATCAGCAGAGCCTTCAGACCTTGTTTATTTCGGATATCACAAAAACTGAATCTAATAATTGTTTTATTTTTTACGAAAGCACACACAGGATCGCACGGAAGACAGTTTGGCATTCATTCTTGGAAAGAATGCTATGTGTGCACAACCTACAGATTAGTCGCAAATTTGCTAGCAGATAACTGACTAATTTCGAGACTAATTTGGAGGTTGAGCTTATTTCCAAAACAAACTGTATACTCTTAGCCAATGACAGCCAGTGATTCTAAGCCAGGGCCTCGGTCGAGTCGGTGATAAACACCATCCTTTTAATTTTCGATCCTTCACAATTTTTTGCAGTACTTACTTATTTAAAAGGGTTATATCTGGATACCAGATTTCTTCCGGTCGAAAATGTACAACTCTAACTCCGTTATAATCGGTCTTGTTCCATTGAAGGAATTCATTAATCCAAGCCTGAAAAGAACAGTAAAATGTCAGTTTCTCAGTGTTCATTGTTCCGAAGTGTTTTTAATATTTAAAAAGGGTGCATACTGTAAAAGATCGATTAAGCGCCGCTACTGGAATAAACACTCAGCGCCAATTTGGGCATTTACAAAATAACGCCCCCCTTGTCAAAGGTTGATATAAAGAGATATCAAAACCATATCGCTGGAGAAATACGACTTGACCAACTCGTGAGTTCTAAAGTTTACTGCGCTCACAAAGTTTAAAGCTCACAAGCCGCCTTCACAATTGCGTTTTTCGCTGCCGTCAATCATAATTACGATGACAAGCAACGAACCTTGAAACAGAGAAACACACAAAACGGATCGAAATCCACCAATCACAAATCAGAAACCATGACCTTTTGAACCTGTTAAAGTAAAGTTTTGTGTCCTAAGAGGTCCGTTAAGATGATTGACGGCAGCGAAAAACACAATCGTCAGTTGGCTTTTGAACTTTAGAATTCGCATGTTTGTGAAAAGCGCAGTAATGTAAGGAAACTCTTAAGACGGAGTTCATATTAGAGGTGTACTTATTTGATACTAAACTGTGCATACTTAGCACGCGCCGCACTTAATTCTCTCTATATTCCTCTCAGCGTTTTACCCGTAGTTGAAATAAGCGCCGCTCTCGAATAAGCGCCGCACCTATTATAGTTTGCTATAGTGGGAATGAAACAGCTGTTTACTGCTGGAAGCCCTTTTTTGTTGTATTACTAGTGTCATGCAAATGTCTCGCAATGTTAAGGATTGTTTAAAAAACGAGTAGGAATGTATTATCAGGTTTAAAACCTCGAGGGGAAGCTGAGAGTTTTCTGAACGGCATCAAAATCTCTGATATATATCAACTCATTCCTGCACTAATACTTAGATTTAGGGTTGCTTTGGTCAAGTTTATCTGTGTCGTTATCAAATATAAAGACACTCATGAAACCTTTTTTTTTTGTTTTTTCTTTACGAATTATTAATGAGTTTTTAAAGTTTCAGCACGTTAGAAAATTTTAAACGTTTTAAGTCTTTTATTCAAAACTGTCAGGGAAACTTATTCACGACTCTATTTCGCATAAACTCGTTTATAGTGAATTATTGCTGACAGCCAGTTTGAACATACTTGGACGGTTCTATGTACTAACTAGTTTCTATGGTAATATTTGTTTAAATCTCTTTGCATGCCAAGTAATTTGATCGTGATAACATAACAACAGAAAAACAAACATCTTTTGAGCAACGGGACTGTAAATACTAAATAATAAATGAGTGCTGTTTCAGATTTTACTCGAGAAATCCTCAACAAAGAAACTTTAGTGAGTTCAGTTTAGTTTGTTCTATGCCGAGTACGACCTAGACCAGTCGACACGAGCTTATAACTGTAAACGAGCTACGTTAAGGATATTTCATTAGTTTCCGTTGACAATAGATTCAACATATGTAATAGTAAGACTTGGAGGATATGAATGTCCTTGAAGCTAGTGATTGCCTAAAACACACGAAGTTAGTTTCAAAATTATTCGCTGTCCAAAGGCCCGCTTTCAATCACCAGTGAACGCTTGAACAACAGTTTGAAACTTTTTTCTCCGGTTTTCTGTTATATTTTCAGGTGTATTTTAAGTCAATCTAACCAGGCACGCGTGCATATCAGAAAACAGCAGCAGCCAAGAGAAAAAAAAGATGCTAAACTTACGTCTCAATTCGCAGACCATAGGATTTCCTACCATGCTGAGGAAACTGCTAAACTTAAGTTAGAGATAATCAGGGATAATTGACCCATGGCCGTAAAAATTGCTTAATTCATGACTTTGCATCGACGCTGTCTTACTCTTTAAGAAAAAAAACAACAACAACAACAAAGATAAAGGCGTTTCGTTAACTAACCAAACACGTAAATATTTTTATCTCAACGCATGACGTTGTGTTAAAAAGAAACTCAATTTAAAGCTCTTAGCGATCGATCTCAAATTAAATATCGTTCTACTTCTCCTTTGACTTGTAATGGAAGATTAACGTTTCAGTAACTGCATAGATACAACCAAAAAAGAAGAAATAGTCTTCTAATATACTTACTGTGAAATAATCCATGCAAGTATAGAATCAGCGCAAGGTAATACATTTTACCACACCCAGAAACTTCTGGATCTTATTAACTCTTAGCTGAAGGTCAGCTAAAAATGTTTTGGCGCTGATATGATGTAAGAGCTAAAGATGATTTTAACCCTTGTTTTGAAGACTTTATATGTATGGGCGAGGCTCCATATGGAGCATTTGTTTTCCAGTTGTAAGAAACTTTAACATTTAATACGCTCATTAACCAAACAGATCAAACCGGCTCTTTTTGACCAATAAGAGCTGGACCTCAAGACAATAGTCAGGTTACTAATCACGTGACTTGAGAATGGTTCTTAGCGATACGAGTTTCCTTGAACATCTCTGATGGCCGTTAAAATTGTAAACCAAGCCAAGAAATTATATTCTCCAGTTGAACTTCGAGTTTCTGACGGTGTTTGCACTCAGGTGGTTAAATATAGTAACTATATATAGGAATTTTCAGTTGTGTTTAAATTAGTATGCTTTTTAACCCTTTCACTGCCAAATGTAGCCAAAGGCAAATTCCTACCAAATTTCCACATTTCATTTTCTAAAATTTTGAGAAACAAATAGCATCATGTGAAAGTACAGGCAGAGAGCTTTCATTTGAATGGTCACATCATAGGATTTCGTCCACAGACTCAAAAGTTAGAGTCACCTTATAAAACTCCATCAAACACTCTGGCAGTGAAAGGGTTAACTCGAATGTTTATCTCATTTTCTCTGCGGTACATCAACAGTCACGCACTTCCTCTGAGGGGCCGATCGGTCTGTTTGTTTTTCTGGTTGTCATTGACTATATGAAATTAGATGAGCATTGTTATCTCATGTAAAATTTAAAAGCTGCATAATATTTTATTTTACTAAAATAAATATAACTTCTTTCCTCAGTGGGGGCACTATAACTAGAGTGTTTCCTCAAAAATGTAGGTAATTGAATGCATTCGCTGCATATTTCTCCCTGAAAATAAAGAGTCATCAGTTTTTTCTAAACTTCTTGATATTCTTAAATTTGATAACATTGTTAAACTGAGTACATGCGTATGTTGCAGTTAATTTTTATCTCAGGTAATTTGTGTTTTTTGTTTTTGTTTTTGGGTATGGTAATATTGGCTAATGAAGTTGAAACAAAAGCAAAAATTACCTGAAATAAAAAATTAACTTCAACATGAAAATAAGAAATGCTTTTTGATTATGAAACCCCATAAATGACGAAATCTACGAAAGGTAAACGAGATGAAGATGTCCTCCATGTTACTAACTGACTCTTGGCTGATTATAAATAATTCAAGACTGTAAACTATTAAAGACAGCTATAGCAGTATTAAACTGTTAAAACAATCCTTAATAAATACTTTATAAATAGAGCGCAAACAACAACAACAACATCGAGGAAGAGATTTAATAATTCAAGTATTTTAATTTTACACTTCAAACTTTGCGACCTTTCTCGCTAACTTTTTTGATGACTGATTATTCGAAAGGTCCATAAACACTCGAAAGAGTTTTCTGGCGATATCCTCAAAGTTGGCAAAAAAACCCTTTCATGGAACAACATACCCACCAATTGCACGATGGCGTCATTTTACTAACTTCGACCAGAATCTCATTCATTTTTCCTTTCGTATTTTAATTTGATAATCCCAGCGAGGCTAGGTTAAATAACACAACCCCTAGTTTGCACCAAAAAGCAAACCCTGTAGGATTTTGGTCGTAGTAGTAAAATAACGTCATCATACAAGAAAACCTGGGTTTCTTGCATGTTCCAAACTGAAATCTGAACGACCAAGCAGTCAAGTACTTGAACAAAAAGATCTAAGAATTTTCTTGGTTTTTGTTTGGTTTAACTAAGTAAGTTATTTGACTTATTTGACTTATTCCCCTCGCGCGCTCCATAACAACTAAGTAAGTGCGTAACCTTGCCGAGTATAATGTGTTCCACAGTTTTACATTACACTTAGAGGTGTTTTTCAAAGTGGTATGTGCTTTATTAGGAACCCCGTTGGCTCTATGAGTAGATCACTAGGTACGAGATTACAACAATTAGAACGTAGAGGCCAAAAAACACCTTATCCAACTTGATTGACACTTCCTTCCAGGTAAGCACCTCCCCTTTTTCCTCTGATCCTTTGAGTTGCTTGTCACTCCCATCTGGGACCTCTGACGCTTGGATCGTGTGAATGTTTGCAGGAGACTCAACACTTGGCAAATGTTGCCCATTTGCGCTGGAGACATCTTGAATCTGCACGACTCGTTTTTCATTCTTTTTGCGGAAGAAGCGGAAAGGGTTCTGAAGCCATTCCGGAGGGTTTCCTTCCATGAAAAACAGCTTGAGTATGAGAATATTAGATAGGAGTACCATACACATGATTACCAATGTGTTAAGCATGCTAAACCCAAGCTTAGGAATCCCACTCGAAGTCTCTGGAAGGAGAGATGACATGAGCAAGAGGAACACCGTCATAGCCAACAGAATTGTAGTGACAAATCCAATCCTCTCTCCGCTCTCAACCGGAATGAGAAAGCTTGTGAGGTTGAGAAATAAGAGCAGCCCAGAGGGCCCGACCAGATAAAACAAGAAATACAAAGGCTTTCTGGTTATTTTGATGGTGTAAACCATGATGCTGAAGTCAATCTCACAACACTCGTCATGGCTAGTTTCCTCAGAAGTGACGATCACATCGTCAATTTCCCAGTCTCCACTTTTTATAAATCGATCTGGAAATGAATGAGGGAGTAATCTTACAACTCAGAAGCATGTTAATAACGTAGCCTTGTGTCCTCAAATATTTTTATATTAATGCTGATTGATTGATAGACTTTCAAAAAAAGTCCTTCGTCAGATTGATCTCTCGCGACTTCGTGGCTCGCTCGCTTAGAATTCGAAACTCGTGAGGTATACTTGTGGCAGGAAAGTCTAATTGATTGACTGACCGATGGAAGGAACTGTATTTGTCGAACTTAGTTTAGGTGACTGGCCATTTAACCACTGTGTGGCTAAATTATTGGCTAGTTAAAAGTTTGTCTGACGGTCTGTCTGCCCAAAAGTCACTCTGTGTCTATCTGTCTGTCTGACTTCACTGAATCTGAAAAATTTTATTAACTAAGCTCCTAGGCTACGAGCAGCTCCTTTCCAGTCGAATCGAAGACTGGAGAGACGAAGGAACGAGAGAATTACGAATAGGACAGAGGAGGAAGGTTAAGGGTTTGTGATCTCCTTTATAACTTTCGCCTATGCATTTCTTGCAGCTTTATGCCGCATCTCGCAGAGAATTGAGTTGGAGTAAAAGGCTTTAACACTTAGAGGAGACTACAGAACAGCCTGTATTTTGAAAGAGAAAGGCGAAAGTTATTTACTTTGGCAGTCATTTGTCTGCTGCCAAACATGACAAGTTTTGTTTTACCTGGGTTACGTAAGTTTTCTCTTTTAATATGCCTTGCGCTACTAAATTTTTACAGCTAAGATTATTTCTCTTATAGAGAGACGATTTGCCCAAAAAGTATTCAAACTATGACTCAAAAGTACAAAAAGTACACCTTCGGTTGACGTGCGTCGCTCAAAAACGTCGCGGCTTACATTCCCTTAGTATTGCTTTTTGGAAAACTTACCACTAAGGTCAGCCCCTAGGCCTTTGCCTCTCTTTGGTGCTTGCTTTATAATCATTCTGTCTTTGCCAGACGTAAAAGAACCGAATGACACTTTACATGTTTGGTTATCAAAGGGCCATTGTGTGAGCTGTAGTTTACAAGTGGCTTTTATAATGACCGGGCCTCTAAGAAGGCAACCTCCCGTAGACTGCACGCTTATTTCTCTTCCGTAGGGTGTTCCTTCTTCATCAGATTCATCATCTCCGCTAGAACACCCAACAAAACAAGTTGCGTCATTTAGCGCAGTACAAATTGCTTCATATGTCATACGATAGAAAAAAAAAAAGACCACTGTTGTTTTTAAAAAACACAACTTAGGGATTTCAAATGGTAAATGAATAATATGGCAAGACATCTGAGACGAAACAGACTTGAATCAAGGTTGGAAGTAAGTGTATCAGTCGAGCCCTTCAGACCCTGTTTATTTCGGATATCACAAAAACTGAATCTACTTATTGTTTTATTTTTGACGAAAACACACAGAGCACCGCACGAAGGACAGTTTGGCATTCATTCTTGGAAAGAATGCTATGTGTGCACAGCCTACAGATTAGTCGCAAATTTGCTAGCAGATAACTGACTAATTTCGAGACTAATTTGGAGGTTGCGCTTATTTCCAAAACAAACGGTATGCTCTTAGCCAATGATAGCCAGTGATTCTAAGCCAGGGCCTCAGTCGAGTCAGTGAAGCACCATTCTTTTAATTTTCGATCCTTCACAATTTTTTGCAGTACTTACTTATTTAAAAGAGTTATATCTGGATACCAGATTTCTTCCGGCCGAAAATGTACAACTCTAACTCCGTTATAATCGGTCTTGTTCCATTGAAGGAATTCATTAATCCAACCCTGAAAAGAACAGTAAAATGTCAGTTTCTCAGTGTTCATTGTTCCGAAGTGTTTTTCATATTTAAAAAGGGTGCATAGTGTAAAAGATCGATTAAGCGCCGCTACTGGAATAAACGCTCAGCGCTAATTTGGGTTGATATAAAGAGATATCAAAACCACATCGCTGGAGAAATACGACTTGACCAACTCGTGAGTTCTAAAGTTTACTGCGCTTTTCACAAACATGCGAACTCTAAAGCTCAAAAGCCGCCTTCACAATTGCGTTTTTCGCTGCCGTCAATCATAATTACGATCACAAGCAACGAACCTTGAAACACAGAAACACACAAAATGGATCGAAATCCACCAATCACAAATCAAAACCATGACCTTTTGAACCTGTTAAAGTAAAGTCTTGTGTCCTAAGAGGTCCGTTAAGATGATTGACGGCAGCGAAAAACACAATCGTCAGTTGGCTCTTGAACTTCAGAATTCGCATGTTTGTGAAAAGCGCAGTAAAGTAAGGAAAATCTTAAAACGGAGTTCATATTCGAGGTGTACTTATTTGATACTAAACTGTGCATACTTAGCACGCGCCGCACTTAATTCTCTCTATATTCCTCTCAGCGTTTTACCCGTAGTTGAAATAAGCGCCGCTCTCGAATAAGCGCCGCACCTATTATAGGGAAATGAAATAAGCGCCGCGGCGCTTAATCAATCATTTACGGTATTATCTACACCGTTTCTCAGTGCATTGGCTATCACGATGTGCACACCATACCGGATATAGCTTTTGCGCGGCCACAAAAATCATA